GTAATCGCTCATCACAGTTCAATAGTAAATGGCACTGTAGACAGATAGATTGTTTGAAATTGAAGTGAGGCGCCCGTTAAGGGTCGCGAGAGACTTACAATATTTCACATTACATACAACATTAATAGGTAAATATAAACAAAATTTAATATAATAAATATAATACCGATCACCAGCCATATAAAATATATTTTCTTCGTTGGAGCATAAAATGCAGTTTCACTTAACTCTAGGAAGTTGGGATAGCTAAAACTGACCTTTTCGAATTAACTTTCACGCAAATCATCGTACAAAGAAAATCCAGCAATACATGACATTCATCTTAAATACTTTTATTACACTGAAAACACTCTTTCATTCACATTCATATTCATATATCTGCCTGTTTGTAAACTATAGAGGAGCAGTGCCTGATCTAAATTTGGAAAGGAAGAGCGTTAAGAACGTGGCATATGTATACTTACATAACTTTCACAACTATACACATTTTTAAACATTATATACGTACGTAATATATTTCCACCCGTTCTTCCGCCAGGCGTGAATAACAGTTCATTCCAATCAGACACATACTTTCCCAAGGAAATATCCTGCACACGTGCAGCTACACTTTTCACGCTTACATTCTCTGAAATACTCAAACCCAATTTGTTCAGCTTTGCCCTCATACGAAAATTCCAATTTTGCACTCGTCCTTACGCATACCGTTCAGATCAAATAAACACACTATTTTAATCTAAAGAACGTTTTAGTAAAACGCCAATACTGTCTAACAATACACATGCACTGTCTAACTATCGCTGGAATTCATCCCATATCTCCATTAATGGCAACATTTGGAACATATTTACCCAACCCAAAGACAAATCCCAAAGCACGATGGTGAACGGCATTTACAGAAGAAATGTGACGATGACCCCAGATAGATGCCCAACAACTCAGGACTGACCAAACCATCTTATCATTCAATTTGGAATAAGTAGAGGAGTGCATACCTCTAATTGCCTCATATTTACAGATAGGAAGATCTAATGCTCTGTTATCTGGTGTAGCTGCTGCTTTTGACCAAACAACTGATTTCCTGATTTCTGATTTCCTAACTGATTTTTGTATATATATAATCCCCTACTGGGCGTCGTGCGAATGTTCCAAATAAGCCATACGGGTGTCTTGGATAATCCTGAACAAGAGGGGGTCGTCTCAAAAGCATAGAGTAAATAATTCAGAGTTCACCAAATTTAGATGCGTTGTCACATAGCCTACACGAGCGTATTCATTGACGTACACCACAGTTTATTTTCTTTAATTTGTTTTTACAATATCCTTATACAAATACAAATACTCAAATTCTCAAGGTGTCTTTAGTTAGCTAGTTCGTCATAGAACTGTCAATAAACATGTCCTTTCAAGTGTTCAGAGTGTTCAGGTATCTTGATGTGCGTTCTTACTGTCAGCTGGCTTATATAAATAAAAGCAACAGAACCCTTTCCATATTCATAAGCATATTCCATATTCAACGATGTACGATTCAGACCTCATCAGCATGTGTTTATAAATCATTATCAAATGGTGATGAAATCAGGCGTTCGTTAAAAAAAGAATCAGCGTATCCTGCCCCGCCGATGGAACCCGTCGCAAACACATGGAAAATACAAAGTCAATTGTTCACCTGAAAAACTGCACTGTCACTGACGCGTCAAATCTGGAAATGTCCTTTACATGTCTTTTATACATTTTTTAAAAAGTTTTGCTGAGGCATTGCATGTTTTAGACTTGATCAAACAACTTTTGAGTAACAAACAGTGTTAAAAATATTTATGTAACTTTACACATTGTTTGTAACTGAGAATCATTTGGTTTTGAATGGAATAGTAAACTTTTGAGAGAAATGTTAAGGAAATCTAATTACAATAATAACATATCCAAAAATAATAAATGAAACGTACAATTCTTCGTTTTGTGTTCACAGTTATCTTATTTACAAAGAAATATATTTGTTACAACAGTGATAATTGCCGTTCTAAGTTTCAGTAGGGAAAAGTATACGGCAGATGTGGTGACTCGATCCTAGATCGGATATCTTTATCAGAATTGTTTGCCCAACTTCAAGTGTCAGTTGTGGCTTAGTAGTTACCTCCCTTGGGTGTATCAGGGAGCAAGGTCCTTCCTAGCGCGTGACACCTTCGTTTCATATCGGTTTAGAGAGCTCCGCGGACGGGCTATCGCTGTGAGGAGCTTGTTTGAGGGCAGAGTGTGTCAATGCGGGGAAGTTTCGCGGACGATTTTCCCAAACTGGTCAAGACGGAGAATCAGTCAACAGATGAATTAGTATTGAAAACATCACCTGTGGGTTGAGGGTATGTATTCTGTTGTGTACTCAACAGGGTACTTGCGTTTGTCTTGATTCGTGATTGTTGTCAGTCCACACGTTGAGACTCCATGTCTTCAGCTGAAAAGGAAACCGAAAGTAGAAATACACTACTGAGGAACAATTTCTGTAGACGTCGGTATTGTAATAAGTTGACACCAAGGTGACTCTACACGTACATACTTTTGTTTGCTTTGTTAATGCATATTGATAACAATTATGCATAATCATACTTTTCCTTATTCAGTTTCTGTAAATATGATAGATGTGGTAATTATGATGTACCCGGACAGCGGTAGTAGCCGGAGACTCACCGAAAACTTATTTATAGCTTATTAGGTAAACTGCTGATACCCAAAATTAACAGGCAAGCATAATCCGTTTTCCCCGTAGGCCATTTAAAAATTTGTCTGCTGGAGATACTCTCTAAACAAACCGTCCACGATCACCTTTCAAACTTGATTGCCACGCCCCCATTTCATACATTATCGCTAAGCAACACTGTTTTCGGTCTTAAATTAGTGTTTCCCAAACAACTCATTATATATTAACTTGTATGGTAGGACTTTAAGTAAATGTAACAACATTCCATGAAAGAAGGTGATTCGAAAAATTCAATATATATGTAGGATGTCAGATGCCCTACACATACGTGGTACATTTGTTAAAGAGTGGGTTGTTGGGTCAGTGATATATGTTGTCTTCCTACAGCTATATGTATGTAGTAATAGGCTTGAACTATTCCATAGACTGAAATAATCAAATCCAACCAGGAAATAGCTGTCACACCCATCTGTTAGTTTGTACATACTGTAGCCTCAATGTAAAGAGAGTAACAACAGTTGCATGTACGAAATGTTGTCATGTCATCAGCATTATTGACACTGTGAAATTAAATATGGAACATACATACGGTTGGAATATATAAACCCACTTGATTGTTTGTTTGAATTGCTATAGACCTGTATATGTTATGTGAGGGAAGTACCTCCGAAGTCATATTTCCTTAAAAACAAAATATTATTTGTGTGATGTCATAATGTTAGAATTATATTTGTATGAGGCTATCAGCACACATTACACAAAGTCGTACTGTAGCAAAAGAAAAACGATGAGGCATGCACAACTGGAGAGATAAGAGACAGCCTCAAGTAACAATAGGCAGGTCACATTAGCGGGCTTGGAATTCAGCAACTACTTATTAACATCACCAGAAGACAGAACGTTGTCCTTGTCTTATCTCTTTATGAGACTAGTAGGAGCCTTTACAGAACTTGAACTATTCATATTGTAAGACATGTTCCAGTTATGGTGACACAAATCTAGAAAGCACTATTCACATGGCATGTGTGGATATTTCATGTTTCCCAGATGGCGACATCCCAGATTGAGAAAGTGAGAGAATTCCTCACCTGTGTGATCTGCCAGGAACTGTACACAGACCCCTGTGAACTGAGGTGTGATCACACATTCTGCAGGAAATGTGTCACAGGGTACATCCAAACCAGACCAGACGCTGTACAGTCCAAGACGATCCCCTTTGCCTTCTGTCGACAAGATACCAAGGTCCCCCACCCCAGCCGGCCAGTGGAGGAGTGGGCGGGGCAGATCAAACCCAGCATCATTAGGGGCTGATTGACACACAGGAATCTGCTACCACAACGGCAGGTGCGACAACGTCTTGTTAATCCACACAATAAGCTAGTGGAAATAATAATTATGACTGTGGAGGTTATAATAAAGTAATCTGTAGACATATAAAGAGAGATCTCTATCATGTAAGTGCTTGGGGTGATTATGAAATGGGTTTAATGGAATAATCTTCCCTTTCCTCATATTACTTGTGATATGTTACATGTTAATAAGATGTCTGTTGTAGTATAATTCGAGGTATTTTGTTATATTATTACATGCTAATGTAATGTGAAGGACACATATACGCTCTTGACGATTTCATTCGCAGCTGATGACACCAACAAAAACTGCTCTTTGTGTGACGGACTAGGGGAGACAACTCCGGGGACCTCCTGGTGTCCTGAATGTGAAGAGGCCCTCTGTGGTAGATGTGCCAAAATACACCGTATTAGCTCTGGCTCTCGTGACCATGGATTGTGTGACCTGTCTAGAGAGGTCAAGGTTAAGAAGAGGCGCAAGGTCATGTGTCAGGAACACAAGGGTGAGCAAGTCAAATATCTCTGTCTGGACTGCAACAAGTCACTGTGTCAGTCATGCTGTGTGGTCTACCACAGGAAATGTGACTCTGTCGTCACAATCAGCTCTCAGATGACGAGGATAAAGCTTGGGTTATCTCGTAAAGTCAATGGTCTGAAGAAAAAGCTTTTTGGTAAAAGCAAAAAGATAGAAAAACAAAAATCAAGAGTAAGTGAAATTAAAGCCAATAAAGCGTCCGTAAAAGAACACATCAGATCAACTACTAACACACTCGTCGAACACATCAAGCACAAGGAAAAGAAGCTGTTGGATGAATTGGATGCAAAAACAGATACTCATATCTCTCAAGTCCCGGCAGCTATAAAGCTTGAAGAGATTGAGATACAGATGTACAGACAACATTGTGAGTTCATTGACCAGGCCTTGGTATCGGACTGTGAGATGGACCTGTATGACGCGTATCAGGCCTGGGAGTCGGGGGCTGTAGAGTTGGGGGATGTCAGGGACACAGACCCAACAGACACACGGAGCATAGATGACATCAGGTTTACACCTGACACTGACAACGTCCAGCACATCCTAGATGACCTACAGCTGGGGAAGACTGACATCACATATCAGACTGGAACCTGTCAGAAATCTTATCCGGTAATGGTTGACACGACTGACGGCAGGGTGGAGGGAGATGTGGGGAAACCTAATCTAAGTGACGTCACAGTCCTAGTTGTAAATGGTATACAGGCGTGTGTTGTCACTGACTTCAATAACACGTGTGTGAAATCTTTCTATACTAGAAATAATCAACCATGTCATAGTAGACTTCCCCTGGTTAACTCTCCATGGGGTGCAACACAGTTGAAGGAGAACCAGGTGATGGTTGCTGTCCCTGACTACAGTCAGATTGTAACAGTAGAAGTGACCCCTGACCTGGTGCTGCTCTCAACCATCACAACAAGCAGGTGGTACTACAGTCTCGCTGTTCTGAGTCCTTCATCTCTAGCAGCAGGTACATATTACTGTGTTGATATCCTGGACATGGGGGGACACGTGCTGAGGTCAGTCGACAATCAGATACAGTTTACACGCCCCTTCTGCATGTGTGTCAACAACAAGGGCAACATACTCGTGTCTGACTGTGAGAAGAAGTCTGTGACATGTGTGACATCAGAGGGGGATGTTGTGTGGAGATACGCCCCTACCGGAGACAGAGCACTCATCTTCCCCTGTGGCATCACAACTACCAGCACAGGGGACATCCTGCTTGCAGACAGGTACACCAACAAGGTGATACAGCTGACAGAGTCGGGGGAGTATGTCAGGGATGTTCTCACTTCACAGGATGGTGTGCCCTCTCTACGAGGTCTCTGGTCAGACAATCATGGCTCCATATTTGTGACTGGCGATGGGAAGATCAAGGAATTTATCAACACATAGGGACTGACTGCATATGGACACCTCTCTAACTGCTTCTTCGTTACATCCGCCTGTCATTATTACCCCCATACACATCCCTACTCGATAGATGAAATATGTACACATGATAAATAATATGAATTTCGAAATCAGATAAAATTCATGGACGACCGTCAAATAAATCAATAATCTAACACTCTTGTTTGATTGTTGTTTTGTTGGATGTTGCATGTGATAAGTACTATTTATGTATCTGCATGACAAGTCAAACTCGTAAAATGGTTTCGTCGTGACATATCTGAATGTTTTAAAGTATTCCACCAATTAGGGATTCGGCCTTACAAATTCGACCCTGAATCACATGATATGAACCGACAAACTACTTTATGTTCAGTATAGCTGTAGGTGTAAAATATTTCATTACAATTCTGAATTAACCCTTTACAATATGAGACACTCACCTGAAACCTACGATTGTGGGTTCGAATCCCCGATTTGCACTGGTGATGTTTCTTGGTTTCCCTGCTCCGCACCATACCCGTGTTCGTGGATTTCACCAAAGTGGTAAACGTCCAAGACCTACATCACTTTAGCTTTCCTCCAACTTCAAACTGACACTCCGTAATACACAATGAGACACTTTTCACAGTGGTGTTAAACTTTACTCACTCATTTACTTTACAATATGATGTGTTGGATAAACTCTTTACAATATGACATTGTGGATATTCTCTTATAATACGATATTATAAATTGACCTTTCCGATTTTTGACGGATTTTAATTATTTTCTCTTCCCTCCGGTGTGACATTAGCACATTGGCTACCGTTCAGGCCTGCTTTCTTTTAATTATTCTAATTGGTGAAAGCCAGTATGAAACAAATTTGTTTACGTGGGAGGTTAGGCACCCTACCACAGTTCAGTGGATTACTCCCTTAGACCAGTTTGTCTTGGTAATCGTAAACCGATCACGTTACTCGACTGCATCAAGCCTCTTTCCGCGAACACCAACAAGCAGCCAAACGCGTATCTCATCAACAACTTATTATTTATCTCTTCTCTCCCAGCCCAATTGTGCCTCTTGTGCCTCGTGTTAATCTTGTAGTGTAAACATGTTTTTTCATCTGGACCAAGTTTGGTAAATCAATACTTCTTGCATCATACTTCTCGCATTATAAGTATGCATATCTGTTCATTAGCAATATAAGTCAATGTTTCCATGAATGCATAAGAATGTGTTTCTTGCTCTAATTTTCTTGGTGTTTCAGTGCCTCTCACCAGCATACTATATAACTTGGTGCAGCAATAGTCGTGTCAGGCAACTCAATTTTCTCATTAACACTCATTAACTGTCAGTAAGTTCAGCCTCAACATTCTAACTGCACCTCATGTTGTGTACCCAAACCACAGAGGATGACAGTGTATGTAATGACACAGGATGGACTGCAGCTCACGCCTCACGTTGTATTTAGCCACGGAGGATGAACTGAACTGTCACCTCTATTCGGGCCTATTTGGTCATGTGTACTTTCCGGCCTATTTGGTCATGTGTATATTCCGACCCATTTGGTCATGTGTATATTCCGGCCCATTTGGTCATGATGTGTATATTCCGTCCATTTTGGTCATGATGTGTATATTCCGGCAATTTTGGTCATGATTTTGTAGTTACTCCATTGCGTCACGATATGTACCCAGCTAAACCTCGGACGCAAGCAATGTATCTGCATTTCTGTGTACTGTGTAACACTGCTCGTCGCGACTTCCGCCTGTACTTTTATATAATATAGCTGCGCCCGTTTTTTGGCCACTTAAGCATCGTGTTATCTTTAAATTACTTCAGTGATTTCAAAGGAAGCCAACCGGATTGTCTTACTCTTCCATAAACCACCGATCTGTCTGACGTTTTCACATTGTCCAGGTACATGGTAATTAATAGTAAAGTCAGGTTTACTCACGGTGGTTGTTTTCATGGTTTTACGCCGCGTTCTGACTCACTCCAGCAATATGACGTAATCGAAGCAGGGTTTTCGGCGTGAGGAGCGAACGCTTTAACCACGAGGCCATCCGACCGCCTCTCTTGCAGATGAGTTGCAGACTACTCGATTGAAGCGGGATCTTTGATTGGATGTCCAAGAGGTTAAATGAGCTCATCTGTAAAACAAAATTTCAAATGCTGAATGTCAATGTATTTGATTCTTGGCGTCTCTTATTTAATGCTCATACAATCAAACAGCGAAGTTGGAGATGTCGAAGATGAATATAAATACCTCGAGTTATCCGATGCTCGACACAACCAAAATCGACAAATCGGTGTTAACTGTTTCAGCTAAATGCGAATTGGGCCTTTGTAATGAGGCTGACTGTGTTTGATGACACTCCATTGTCGTGCATTGGCTAGAACGATCGTATGAAATATCTTTCCGATATTTTCACATTAGCATTTTAGAGATTATCAATGTTCATTGGTCGTTTGGAGCCATATGTGGTAGTAAGTGAGTGAGTTGGGTTTAACGCCGCTTTAAACAGTATTCCATTTATATCATGGCTTGTCAGCTAAATGACTTAGATGACACCCGTGCGCCTGAAGCCATATGAGATCACAGCGCTTCATCCTTGAGCCTTTGTTCATAACGTCATAATTTGATTGCCTTACGCCATCTTAACAATAGGAAGCATTCAGTAAAGTTTCTCTTTAGGGGTGACATTACATGCAATTTTTTTTTATTATTAGCTTACATGACTGCAAGTATCTTATTCTTCTAAATTTTGACATCTCCTATGAAAATACTCCGCCTGTCGAGCTGAAACTGTCAATGATCCCAGCTGTCGTATCTCTAAACTACCATATTGATATTTATAATGTCATTTGCTCCCATGACTTAGCCATTTCTAAAGTATCACTATGAAGTTTGATATGTAGCAATTGTGTTGTTGTACGACCTTTGATGTTCATGTACCCCTTTATATCTGATCTGTTTTAACTTTTATGTTTCTAACTAACGCTTTTCCCGAAGTAAAACCTTGGTCCCTGCGTATTTCTTCTTTAAACTCATCAATTTTGGTTGTGTGGAGCATCGGATAACTCAAAGATTTATGTAGGTCCCTTCATCTTCGATAAAAAGGTGTTTGGTTGCATATAAGCATGAAATAAGAGACGCCAAGAATCAAATACACCGACATTCAGTACTTGAAATCTTGTTTTAGAGATTAGCTCATTTAACTTTTGGACGTCCAATCAAAGATCCCGCTTCAATCGAGTAGTCTGCAACTCATCTGCAAGAGGGGCGGTCGGATGGCCTCGTGGTTAAAGCGTTCGCTCCTCACGCTGAAAACACTGCTTCGAATACCGCCATTGATACAATGTGTGAAGCCCTTTTCTGGTGTCCCCCGCCGTCATATTGCTGGAATAATTCTGAACGCGGCGTAAAACCATGAAAACAACCACCGTGAGTAAACCTGACTTTACAATCAATCACCATGTAATGTACCTGAACATGTGAAAACGTTAGACAGATCGGTGGTTAATGGAAGAGTAAGACAATACGGTTGGTTTCCTTTGAAGTCACTGAAATAATACAAAAGATAACACGATGCTTCAGTGGCTTTATTACATAACAATACAGGCGGACGTCACGACAACTAGTGTTACACAGTACACAGAAATGCAGTTACATTGTTTGCGTCCGAGGTTCAGCTGGGTACACATCGTGACGCAATGGAGTAACTACAAAGTCATGACCAAATGGGCCGGAATATACACATGACCAAATGGGCCGGAATATATACATTATAACCAAATGGGCAGGAATATACACTTGACCAAAGGGACCGGAATAGAGGTGACAGTTCAGTTCATCCTCCGTGGCTAAACACAACGTGAGGCATGAGCTGCAGTCCATCCTGTGTCAATACACACACAGTCATCCTCTTTGGTTTGGGTACACTACATGAGGTGCAGTTAGCATGTTGAGGCTGAACTTACTGACAGTTAATGAGTGTTAATGAGAAAATTGAGTTGCCTGACACGACCTCCGACGACTATCGCTGTTATATGGTATGCTGGTGAGAGGCACTGAAACACCAAGAAAATTAGAGCAAGAAACACAGTCTTATGCATTCATTGAATCATTGATTTACATTGCTAATGAACAGATATGCATACGTATAATGCAAGAAGTATGATGCAAGAAGTATTAATTTACCAAACATTGTCCAGATGAAAAAACATGTTTACACTACAAGATTAACATGCAAACCCCTTTGACAAAGCAGGCAAAATTGGGCTGGGAGAGAAGGGATAAATAATGAGTTGACGATGAGATATGCGTTTAGCTGCTTGCTGGTGTTCCCGGAAAGAGGCTTGATGCAGTCCAGTCACGTGCTTCACGTGATCGGTTTACGATTACCAACGCACACTGGTCTAAGAGAAAACAATTAAAATCCGTCAAAAATCGGAAAGGTCAATTTATCATAATGTAATATAAGAGAATACCCACAAAGTCATATTGTAAAGAGGTTATCCAACATGTCATATTGTATAGTGAGCGAGTGAGTTGTATCGCCACTGAGAAGAGTGTTTCATTGTGTATCACGGCGTGTCAGGGTGACGTTGGAGGAAAGCTGAAGTGATGTAGGTCTTGGACGTTTATCACTTTGGTGAAATCCACGAGCACGGTAATGGTGCGGAACAGAGACACCAAGAAACATCACCAGTGCAAATCGGGGATTCGAACCCACAATCATAGGTTTCAGGTGAGTGTCCCATATTGTAAAGGGTTAATTCAGAATTGTAATGAAATATTTCACACCTACAGCTGTACAGAACATAAAATAGTTTGTCGGTTCACATCATGTGATTCAGGGTCGAATGTGTAAGGCCGAATCCCTAATTGGTGGAATACTTTAAAACATTCAGATATGTCACGACGAAACCATTTGACTAGTTTAACTTGTCATGCAGATCTTCCCATCATCAGTCACAAATATGGAGCCATGTTTGTCCGAACAGAGACCTCGTGGAGAGCGTACACCGTCCTGTGACGTGAGAACATCCCTGACATACACCCCCGACTCTGTCAGCTGTATCACCTTGTTGGTGTTCCTGTCTACAAGCAGGATGTCTTCTGTGCCTGTGGTTGAGATACCATAAGGGTAGCTGAGTGCTCTGTCTCCGGTAGGGGCGTATCTCCACACAACATCCCCCTCTGACGTCACACATGTCACAGACTCCTTATCCCAGTCAGACACGAGTATGTTGCCCTTGTTGTTGACACACATGTAGAAGGGGTAGGTAAATAGTGTCTTATTATTGTGTGTAGTGACTGACCTCAGCACGTGTCCCGCCATCTCCAGGATATTAACACAGCCGTTACTAGAGATGAAGGACTCAGAACAGCGAGACTGTAGTACTGTAGTCTTGTTTGTTGTGATGGTTGAAAATAAAGAAAATAAACTGTAGTGTATGGAGATATGGGATGAATTCCAGCGATAGTTATACAGTGGATGTGTATTGTTAGACAGTATTGGCGTTTTACTAAAACATTCTTTAGATTAAAATAGTGTGTTTATGTGATCTGAACGGTATGCGTAAGGACGAGTGCAAAAATGGATTTTTCGTGTGAGGGAAAAAGCTGAACAAATTGGGTTTGAGTATTACAGAGAATGTAAGCGTGAAAAGTGTAGCTGCAGGATATTTCCTTGGGAAAGTATGTGTCTGATTGGAATGAACTGTTATTCAAGCCTGGCGGAAGAACGGGTTGAAATATATAACGTACGTGCATAATGTTTAAAAATGTGCATGGTTGTAAAAGTTATGTAAGTATACATATGCCTCGTTCTTAACGGGGGGCACGGGGGGCCCAGTCGTCTAAGGCGCCGCGATTCGCTGTGCAGAGTTGCAGAGAAACCTATGATTGTGGGTTCTAATCCCGGTTCGCGCCGATTATGTTTCTAGGTTTGTCAGCACCATACCCGTGCTCCCGGGTTTCACCGAAGTGGTAAACGTCTGAGACCTGCATCACTTCGGGCCCTTCTCCAACATTAAGCTGACAATAACTGGAATAATGTTAAGAGCGGCGTTTAAACCCAACTCACTCACTCACTCACTCGTTCTTAACGCGCTTCCTTTTCCAAATTTAGATCAGGTACTGCTCCTCTATAGTTGGAAACAGGCAGACATATGAATATGAATGTGAATGAAAGAGTGTTTTAAGTGTAATAAAAGTATTTAGGATGAACGTCATGTATTGCTGGATTTTCTTTGTACGATGATTTGCGTGAAATTTATTTCGAAAAGGTCAGTTTTAGCTATCCAAACTTCCTAGAGTTCAGTGACACCTATAAGCTTATTTTACTTTTTAATTATTATGTATGTTTTACAACGAAAACTGCATTTTACTCTCCAACGAAGAAAATATCTTTTATATGGCTGGTGATCGGTATTATATTTATTATATTAAACTCTTTTTATATTTACCTATTTATGCTGTATGTACTGTGAAATATTTTAAGCCTCTCGCAACCCTTAACGGGTGGCTCACTTCAATTTCAAACAATCTATCTGTCTGAACTATTGAACTGTGATGAGCGATTACCGCACCGTATTGAATACATTACTGTGCTGTCGACGAACATGATTTAACGCTGTGTTATTGTTAGACAATGCTAGATAACTTGCAGGTCAAGTTTACTTGGATATACTGATAAGATACCGGTGTTTTGTAGCGGCTTGACAGGTTAATAAATCAGCTAGCAACAAGGAAGTGTATTACAGAAAAGCTCACCTGCAAAGCATGTTTGCCAAATGAGCCCACTCCGATATTGACGTGAATGTATGCAGAATATTGACAGGTCTTGGAAGTGTCTACCGTGACCCAGAAGATGATACAAGATATTGAACGGGCACTTTGTCCCTTTAGTGGGCATGTTCAAGCTGGTTTCACACACTCAACGATCACTGTATTGAAAATGGGGGTAGACACTATCCAAGTCATAAAGAAAACACGAACATATACAAGGACAGAATGGCGGCATGGTTGACATGTGTGAAGGCGGGTGGTACATACCATCTTCACACCCCACGTGGCTCTACAGTGATCGTTGAGTGTGTGATACCAGTGAAGACACGTTTGAGATCGCTGATAGCATATGACATGGTTTACTTAATGTAGGGTCCTACCCTGACTTCTAACGCCAGCTTGAACATGTCCACTAAAGGGACACAGTGCCCGTTCAAATTGGCAGTCCACTTTGTATGTCACAATAATTATAAGATGCCTCACCCTAAACGTTAATAATTACACTAATTTCACAATAAAACCGTGAAGTGCCGGGGTAGAAAATAGGTCTTCTGCAACCCATGCGTGTCATAAAAGGCGACTATATGCTTGTGAGAGGCGACTAACGGGATCGGGTAGTGAGGCTCGCTGACTTGGTTGATGCATGTCATTGTATCCCAATTGCGTGAATCGATGCTCATGATGTCAATCACTAGATTGTCTGGTCCACATTCGATTATTTACAGACCGCCTTCATATAGGTGAAATATTGCTGGGCGCGGCGTTAAAAAAGAAACAAACAAATAAATGACTCATGACACATATTCCAATTTCTAAGATTGATAATGGTGTCTGGAATGTGAAACCTAGCCTCCCTTTTAACAGTGATGACATATTACGCTAGGATGATGGGATAGGGGTGTGAGTGTGTAATGCTGTTTCACGTCATTGCCAGTAATGTTCCACCTCTCAGATGGGCAAGGACTCAGAGAAGACTGTAGGGCAATTCCCGATGACGACATGAGCGTCTAACGAACTATGTCCGACGTATGCGCACCTGTATGTTTACACGTGGAGGCCATACACATTATTGACGCATTGGCATTTATTTTGTGACATTAATGACCATTTTATCACTTTGAAAAACTTGTACTTGACACTTACCATATCGCCCAGGAAGTCCCAACACACCACAGTGGTGTCGATTGGTTGAACGATTACTGACGTAGTTTATCAAGTATGTATTAATGTTTGTATACATGTCGTGACTACAGCTATAACAACCAAAACTGGAAAAAGTTCGAACCCTACCGTTTAGGTACACACAGTATTCCTGAACACATTAGCTCAAGAAGGAGTTATTTTATGATTGAATACCCTATACATCTTGAGATCATACGACTATCGTCTGACGAAAATGAAAAACATACTTTGTGCTGACACGCAAGATAGTAGTAAAGGATGAGAGGAGGTACGGGTGTCTAGATGACCAAGAAGATCCATTTAATTACTACAGTTAGGACCCTTCAGAACTCAGTATGCGCCACCCTATGTTGCTCAGTGTCACGGCGCTTTGCTCCTGGGACCAGGGTGTAACTTAACAAGAATAAAGTAATAATTGAAAACGTGGTAAAAGTTCACAGTTTTATTACTATCCGCTAATTGTATCAATGGACGACATTATAAAGGATACAGTAATAAAATGAGAGAAGCTAAATCACCACTTTGACAATATATCGACTGAACTGAAGTTTTTTACACCCAGGCTGCAATCTGCATCATATTATATGTGCGTGGTATATACAGTGTAAACATTGATGTTGAACTTGGGGTTGTAACACCTTTAATCAAAAAAGAGAAAGAAAGGAACGATTAGGTACAAGTCAAACAGTAAAGATTGTTAGCTACTGACATGAAATAAACACACCTACTTTCTAAAGGCAGACATAATCTTACAGAAATAGAGAGTTTCCTTTTTGTTCCTGCTTTATGATTATCGAAAAGAATATTCATTTTTATATATTTGGTTTTGAGTAAAAATGTTTTTGAATAAGCTTTCTCCTATCAGTTTCGAAGTTTGGACAAATAAAAAGATAATGAAATTGATCACCGACATATGTAAGGTGACATGAACTACACTTTCTTTCAATTAATGGGATTTTGTTCAATTTACCTGTCTCAACTGGGAGATAATGATCTGAGGTTCTAAATGTAAGTAATATATTCCAGTTATTCTCTTGCAGAATACTTAGATACGATTCAAAATGAAGTTTTTTAACAATGTTATAAGTAATTCCAGAAGAGTTATTTTTTACAGAAGATGCCCATATTTGCTGATGAATATCATTCAATTTAGTTTTGATGACAATTTTTAGCCAATGGATATTTTTGAATTTCTGTGCTGTCCAAATGTGGCTTAACCCAAGATTATCGAATGTTCTCTTAATGCGGATTATCCATTCATGGTCATACGATTAAAAGAAAGTGGTCATTAAAAATTGGTTTGTAAATAACCAGAGACAATTTCACATCATTCTGCCTTTAACTAGGTTAACAAGCTAAATAAATCGACAAAACCTTTTCCATATCAAATAGAAATCTCTGTATAAAGCAGAGTCGAGTGTACAATTGCGACTATATGAAACGCCAAGGTAATGGTGAGAACCAACATTTTCAAAGATGGCATCTCCAATTATAAAACTTTCCTAATGAAGATGTTTACATTAGAAGTATATACATGTGTAAGCCTTGCACATTTAGAAGTTTCCTAGTCCAAAGAGAAGATAGGTGATACATTACTCTGCAAATATATCAATATTGGGTCGGGAATATCATATTTTACTACTTTGTCCATTTTACTTTGGACTCGACATCACTTAGACAGAACGTGCCGTGAGGTTTTAATCAATTACCAAAATCAAACAGAAAGTGTGTGTCACGACCAATCCAGCTGTATATATGCCCTGTTGGGATTAAAACTAATAAAAATGTGCGTGTTAAAAGAGATCTATAATAGTTTATGTTTTATATAGTAAATTACACATTAGTTTGTGTCTGAACACATGAACCTGATATTAAAAGATGGTTATAACTGTATAAACAGGAACAATTTCTTACATATACTTTTACTAATCAACTGCACTCAAACGATGTGTCTGGTCATTGTGTCTAGGGGCACGGGTGGCCCAGCCGTCTAAGGCGCTGCGATTCGCTGTGCAGAGTCGCGTCCCTTGGGCACGCCAGAAACGTATGATTATGGATCAGAATCCCAGTTATGAATACCAACACACACGAATACATGCGCTACCCCATTAACTAGTACTTGTAATGATAAATTTGCAAAGCTCTGGTTCCATCATAACTCTTTGATTCTTGCAAATCTAATAACCTGTCAATTTTAACATTAAGTTCCTCACTCTTTTTCACCTGTTTTCTTAGAATATGTTCTGCATTTCCTGGATTATCTGCGGTCGCACTTCGAACCTTCCTGTAAGACATAACAAATCTCTTTGTAGTGTATCCATCAATATTTAATGGAAAGGCTTCATCTGTATGGTCTTCAGGATCATCACCAAGTCTCGGGAATTTCAGTTTTGAAGTCCAACCACAAAACCAACCTTCAATGAAGATGATAATTGACAACTTTTGTAACCGCCAAACCATTTCAGTGTTCGTTTGTGTATCATGGAATCGATTGGTCATCACACCAATGAGGGCATTGATCATCAGCAGAAACGTGAGCAGTATGAACACACCAAACAGAAATACTATTATCCCATCTTCACGGGATTTCAATAGTTGGTCAATTTCTGTTAAACCAATCATCAGTTTACCCATGGTTAGTAAAGACATGCCGTATTGTGAAACTCCTCCAGAACACTGCTATTTTGTTCATTGTGTAGAAATGTTGCATGCATACACGCCGAGAACACAAACACCTGCATGAGGATGAGAACGGCAAATGGCACCACAGTTTTAAACAACGCCTCATTCAGTAGTACAATATACAAGCTGAAGCGTCTGCTAATACGCAGAAAGAACAATATTGGCCATGTCCCTACAACTATAGCCAAAATCAGAAAAGTGGTTTTGTAGTCAACAAACACTGAATTGGGTATCCTATACAATATCGAATCGGCAAACAAGCAAACAGCAAACAGGACAAAGAAGACCCGGTAGACGACGTTGTGATGTACCGCTGCCCATGCAAATGGTTGTTTTGCAAAACAATACCGAAGTGGGAATTCCTGTACAAAGTACAGAATTGAACAGAGAAATGTAACAATGTTACAGAATTCAAGAAATCCTCGTGGTGCCCAGGATATGCCTTCTATAGCACCAGCCCTCGCAACGACATACACACACAACAAACAAATCAGAGAGACGTGGAATACACTCAGAATCCAAAAGGGAACCCAATATGTATTCAGTTTGCGCCGGACCATTTCTTCAAACACGTCTGCGCGAACCAGTTCAGTTGCGACTGGTAGATTCTGACAGCAGAGAAGTTCAGCAACAGATTGGTTTCTGAAGTTACTAAAAGAAGATTTGCAGATTTCTGGTTGACCTTTTTCGTCATCAAGATCTCCGTAACTGGAACCAACATCTCTAGATTCATCTGGGGCAGTTTGATCGTTTCTTCGCGTCTGTGTTGGATATCGTTGAGCTGTGATCAAAGCAATCTTGTCCATCTCAGTCACATCACATCGTCGTATCTCATAGATGTTATCATGGGGATATTCAATGAGATACACTCCTTTAACTTTCATAAAGTAGGCAAACAGATTAATGTGACCGCTTTCTGTTGCAAGTTGAAGTGCTGTCATGTGAGTTTTGTTTTTTGCAAAAAATAGTTTTCTTTTACAGTCAATAACATCTTCACCAGCATCCATTGCTCTTTTATCCATTAAGGACTCCAACCATGACATCATGTCTACTGTACGTCGCTCCAGCGAAGGAAAACATCTTACAAATCGCATGATGCTGTGAAGAACTGTATCTCCTCTGTAGTTTTGCTCTTCAAAAACGTCATCTTTTTCCACAAGCAATTGGATAATCTTCACAAATCTATTTTCTGGGTCCCTGCATGTATCGTCTTTGTTAGGGTCGTTCAAGTAACACAGGACAGCCGTGTGAAACGGCAACTGGCCCATGAACACTGTTCCATTCATCCTTTGACCAATCCTGTCAGCTTTCTTCCTCCCAAACCTTTTCAGCATGCGTTTTACCAGGTCAACCTGACCATGGGCCACTGCAATGTGGAAGGGTGTCAGTCCTTTATATGTGTCCTTATTATCAGGCCATGTTCCAATGTCAGTGTTGATAAGATCCGGAGTACCTTGTAAAATAGCTGAAGCTGTTTCTGTTTTGTCAAAGCACACTGCCAGATGTAGAATTGTGTGGCCCCAAAGTTCTTCATAGTTTTCCCCTTCATGTCCATCTTTATTCCCTCCCTCACTTCTGTATCGGTAATATTTCATCATATCTGCCTTTTCTTTTAATTCCTTTTTATAATAATCAAGACATTCGGTATCAGTTACTTTCCTGGAGATAATCTTCACCACAAAACATTCCAAGTCTTTCATATCTGGAAAATAAACATTAAATATGCATTCATATTCATTCTTTCCACAGTACATTATGCGATTAGTAAACCCGAACTATCGTTTTGTCAAACATAAACACTGCCTTTCGAAATTTTTAATAAAACAAAACATTTGTTTTGCTAATTAAAGAACTGTGTTGAGTGTGTTGGGTTAATGTCTAACATCTTCTTCTGAATGATAAATACACAATGTAGGTGTGTTTTTGGACACATGGATTGTGTATATGAATATTCTTTCTAAAGCTTGACATTAGTAACAGTTGTTCTGGAATAAATGTTTATTCGAGGAATTCATTGATCCATGTAATGTATTCATGAGGCCTCTTCAACAACATATATACTTACCAGAAAGAGTTTCCCGCATTTCCTTCCATGTCAACCGCTCTTTGAAACACTTGTCTTCAGCAACCTAGGTCAACATGCATGTGTGCACAATGTCATTAAAACGCGTTTCGTGTGATAATCAAAATATTTTCTTTCTCAGGTTTTCAAGTGAGAACATACATATTTTTAATATTTCTTTTACGAAACATGGCAACTTGATGCTTAGAGTGAATACGTTTTTAGTAAGAAGTTTTTTAGTAAACTTTTATGTTACATTATGATATGGGTATGTATTAGTGACTGTCACATTCCTTTTCCATGCGACGATGAAGTTCCAGGGACTTTTGTTATTAACATTCTAATTGTTAGGTCACTGCCTCAGTACATGCACATAGAATAAGAATGGAGGAGTTGAAGTATATAAATAAACTGAACTAAAAAGTTAGGGATGAGGAATATTGATGGGGGTATTTTTGTCGTGTATTTCATAAAAGAAATCCCCAAAAATATTCATGATCGCTAACTTTTTTGTTCAGTATATTTCTACAGAACCCCTCTTCACACCTCTCGAATGGTCGCTCCCCTCATTACAGAGACGCTAAGAGAGGAACAATTAACAGGTCGTGTGCATAATATTGAAAACGTCAACGCCGGAGAATAATTAGTTTCGAATACACGACGAAACAGATTCCAGGCAAAAGGAACAGCTTCTGTTGTAGTAAGTTTTTTAGCTAACCTGGTCTTTTTGGTTCCTTTTTTCTTGTTTGTTTCCTTCTCTTTTTCCAGAGAGCAATGTCAAAAAGCCTTTGTTCTTGTTGTCTACAAGGATTCCTTCCACCAGATTGGCGGACTTTTCACTTATGGCTTTGAGACATTTCTTCTCGAGATCATCGATTAACTTCCTCCTCTGCCTATCCTTAACCTTGTCCTGCTGTTCATTCTTTCCTTGCGTTTTGGCATCGATGAACAATTCTATGACTTTATTGATGGAGATGATGGCAGGGTACACTATATCGAACAGATCGTATTACTTATACATGTACATTATATTCCACAATACACAGAAGTTTAGTTAGATTTACAATAATAACTCGTTACTTATTACACAAAAGTTCTTAGCAACCGAGGGCGACTACATCCTGATGACTTATGAGAAATGCTACATGACTACACCTGGAAAGAGTTAAACATCACTCTATTATTTTCATATACTGGTACATTTGGGACTTTACAGTGATGGGCACGCCAGAAACCTGTCATTATGAGTTCGAATCGCAGTTCGCCCCGATTATGTTTCTAGGTTTGTCAGCACCATACCCGTCCGAGACCTGCATCACTTCGGGCTTTCCTCCCACATTAAGCTGACACGCCGCGATATAACTGTAATACTGTTAAAAGCGGCCTTAAACCCCACTCACTCACTCACCCACTCACTGTACAATGATACCTTTGGTATTATCTTTATATGAAGCTGGCCTCATTTTAAAAATGATCAACGATGAAAAGTTGGTTTAAGAAAGAACAATTTACATTATATTCCGCCAGATGGTCACAATAACTTGGTCTCATCTTAGATGGGAAGATTCAAAGGAAGCTATATACAGGGGTAGTCAAATACTGTTGCCATGGAATGTTTTTATAACAAAATATTTCATTACAGAATCGATTTGTGTTTCTATATTTCGATGCCACAGAGTATGCCACATTGTAAACAAACAAAAGATGTTTCGTCAAGCAATATACAGTAAACTACGGTTATAACGAACACGCTTATAACGAACTTATTCTTAGTCCAGGCCATTTGTTATATATATGCTGTGTATATGCTTATAACGAACTACGGTAATAACGAACAAAAATTAGTGGTTCGTTATAACCGTAGTTTACTGTACAAATGATACGAATTTTTGCCATGTCTCTTTCCATGGAATCATAATACCACGTTCTTAATATTGTCCAGGAGTGGCCCAGTCATTTCGTTCGCTGCATATGTGGACTTGCATCGCTTTGTCGTGACAGAAAGCAATGAGCATCAGCTGGCATTCCAGACACGTTTCTGGTTTTCTTAACTCCTTACCCGCGCATGTGGGTTTCAAGTGGTAAAATCTGCTAGCTCTCAGACTGTTTTCTCTTATCAAGCTGACACGCCGTAACGTAATTGAAATACTGTTCAAAGCGGCATTAAACCAAACTCACTCTCCCACCTCCCACCGATTAGCATACCTTAGCCAATACTGCGATATTGAGCAGTGTATGTCAAGTAAGAAAGGGACTCTCGATAAAGATCATGTTTGGTTAGTTTGAACACGAGAAATGCCAAACATGTCCGTCAGAAGCGACATGGGCCAAAATGACTAAAGTCTTAAATTCAAATCAAATAACTGCGTCATGACAATAGTGAAACAATCATGGCATCTTGCCGATACAACTCAAACAAAACACGATGTACAGCTTTTCCTCATCAACGTATGCAAAGGGTAATCCATTGATACAGTAAGTAACAATAAATGAACGTAACCCCCCCAAAATTCACACATACTGAAATGTTAGGTGAGATGACGTGAAATGGGGTGTAACGTCGCGTCCAGGATTATTGCACTTAAAGCAACGGGCGTGTTGGATACCCCAGTCTCACCCTATACTGACTCCAAGCCAACAGCCCTTGTTTTATCTTCTTAATGCCCAGCACCGGGGCACCGTCTTTTAACGTATTTTGTTATAAAGTGGTGGAGGATCCAACCACCGATCTTTCCCTCTCAGGGCAGACGCTCTATCCTCTGACCACGGATGCTGTTGTAAGTCAAGAGATTTGAATATTGTTCGTATTGAAACGATGAACATGATAGCTGATCCCCTGGACATATTTGGAGATTATGCATATCTCTACAAATGCGACCGTGAAGATCCGGTCTTCAGCAACCCATGCTTGTCGTAGGAGTCGACTAACGGGATCGGGTGGTCAGCCTGCCGACTTGGTTGATGCTTGTCATCGTATCCCAATTGCGTGAATCGATGTTCATGATGTCAATCACTGGATTGTCTGGTCAACATTCGATTATTTACAGACCGCTGTCATATAGGTGGAATATTGATGAGTACGGCGTTAAACAACAAACAAAACAAAACAACTACAAATGCATTATGTTGTAATTCTAAGGAATATATGTCAAATCCCGAGAAAATGAAGTACTCACACTCAAACATTATGCGTTGAACATCTTTCCGTCTCAGAAGATTTTCAAATCCACGTTTCGCCTTTGGGAGAACCTTTTTCCCTTGCTGTTGCACAGAATAAAACTATGATGGCCCATCAAAACAAAACTATATAATAAAGGAATTTATTTGGCTAACGAGAAATTGATTATGGTACAATATGAGCTCCGAAACATAATTAAAGAAGAAAGTAATATATTCTCAAAAGCAGTTCTTGGGATGTTTGATTTTCATACTCAAACCTTTCTGTGAATTTCTGGTTTTGAATCAAATATCCTTTTTGAAGGGATTGCTTCTACTCTTCTCTAAAATGACAGATATCAATGCCTTCTAAGCAATGTTCGGAAGTGCAGAGTTAAATACCACTTTTGGTCGTTAAGATAATATTTCACCTGTAGAACGGACAGTTCGCGAGCCATATGGTTGGCGTATATCACAATAATTTTCCATTTGAGTGTAAGTAAATGTGTGGGTTTTTCTTTAAATTTTAAATCGTGAAAGGTATATTTTGCAAACTGCAAAGGAAGACTTTTATTCACTCCCTTTCTTCAGATTAACTGAACTGTTCACATATACAATTATAAATAGGGGGATTCCACAAAAGTCTTTCCGTGAAGGGGCTGCTGTCAACTGCTTTGAACAGTACTTCATTTTCAGCATATTAGCTTACTATGGTAGCTGAAAAGGGCCATCGCCATATCGCCTTGAGATATCCACGCAATATCGCGACAAAGCGATAGTACGACACCATACTGCGATATCGCAACACGACATAGTGAAAGTGCCATACAGTAAAGAAAACCGAAATAACGATAACATAAATCGACAAAGCTATTGCACGACACGACTTGACATGGCGATACCATGACACGAAATGCTATAACACGACACGACATGGCGATACCATGACACGACATGAACACGATACGACATGGCCAAAACACCACACGAGATTGCGATAAGGCGATATAGCGACACTGCGATATGGTCACGCGAAAAGACGATATCGTATCTACTGTTTGTGTGTGTGTGGCTGCGTGAGTGTTTGACTGCGTGTGTGTGACTGCGTGTGTGTTTGACTGCTTGTGTGTGACCGCGTGTGTGTGATTGTGCGCGTGTGTGTGTGCGACTGTGTGTGAGTGTGGATAACGTAATAGCAACCTTTGTATGTAAAACATGAATATGATGTCATTGTGTCACGAGTTGTCTGAATCAACAATAATTTACGTTTAGTGGCAGCGTTCCGAAAACGCCATTTACAAATATATTCCTGGAAGGTCATCATCATCTGATCGAGCCAGAAAACAGGGTGATGTCATCTGCTTTTGTTAGGGAGGAGCTGTTCAGATCATGAATCATGGCACCGCGAGGGCAGTCAGTAAGCTGTCTAAGCTGTTCATATCCACATACATGGATAGTATCGTTCTAAGAATCTGAACAGGGATCCCAATGAGCATACATTTGAAGAAGAGACCAAAGTGCCATTTTCTGCATCCAGGAGGTAGGGAAATAAAACAATATTATCCTATGCAAAAAAACCCACCCCAAACACACACCCCACCCACAAGTCAGGTTCAATGAACTACATACTACCTGTGCGTTTCCTTTTTGGAAGAATGTGTATAGAAAGTCATGATACAATTGAATGATAATTGTATTGTATCAGCCACTCTTCTAAAGACAACACGTGTGACTGAGCTGAAAACGAAACACGGCATAGCGAGAGCGCAGACCCCATCCATGTCCCCCACTACCCTCACACGTAACACAAATAATCAAGGCCTCGACCTGACACTTATGTAACGACATGCGGATCCGGGGTAGAATAGGTCTTCATCAACCCATGCTTGCCGTAAAAGGCGACTATGCTTTTCATAAGAGGCGAGTAAGGGGGTCGAGTGGTCAGGCTCGCTGACTTATTTGATGCATGACATCGTATCCCAATTACGTGGATGCTCATGATGTCAATCACTTGGTTGTCTGGTCCAGCCTCGATTATTTACAGACCGACGTCGTATAGCTGGAATATCACTGAGTGCGGCGTGAAACAACAAACCAACAAATTTAGTTATACAATCAAATATGAATTTCCTAAGTGAACACGAACCTACTCAGTGAGGGGTCCTTTATCCCCCTTATTCGACTTATTCGGAAATCTGATATCTCAACTCACAGCTAGTTAACATATATCTTGCACTAAATATTCGAAACATAGTGAGTGAGCTGGTTTGAACGACATATTCGAAATGGCTACAGCTCTCCAGTTTGAAAAAAGTGTGTGTGTGCTATTTGAGGCCGCACTCAGCAATATCCTCGTTATAAGAACACCGAGTCACGCCACCAGAACCACACACATTCAATCATGAATGGCTCGCACTATTAGTTTTAGTTTGCTATTGACCAATTCCGACCCGGATTCGTCGCCGATAAACGTTGAGTAGAGGATAGGATCTGAAACAATTAATAGTTTTAGGAGATTTACAGAGGAAACTGCCCTCCTGAGTAGATTCCGATTGTTGTTTTGTAGCACAAAACCACTGATCATACAAAGATCAACAAACAGATTACCACCTGGCTGTTCCATGAGCGACTGGTCCTCCCTGGTATGGGATGGCGAAAAATATCAACAATATGATGATCGTTTGTTTAACAATTTATTTATTCGGGTGACCAAAATTATGAGACAAACCATCAGAGTTGGTCTGTCCAATTCATGTCGCTGTGCACATTTTGGTTTTGTTGCAATTATTAAATTTTGAGTTAGTAAGCAATTCATCGGTCTCAGATGGAATCAAACGGACTGTAGTCAATTTCATCGTCATGGTCTGCACGTGTACAACATGCGCACACCTCTCCAACTGTAACACACCAAGGTTTGCCGAAGTTCTGTGCACCGCCTACTTGTCCCAAATGCGCTTTGTGAGTTGGTCCAACCTTTCCTGGATTACCAGTAAGAACCATAGACCCTTCAGACAACTATTACAAATAGACAAATAGTTAAATTTCGCGAACATGTAGTTTTGTACATTACAGACAAATGTGTAAATATCACAAATGAACTGAACTCATTGGGTTTTATATTGAGAGAGGTACCTAATATATTGTTATATTTAGTGGTGATTAATTTCACTTTCAACTCAAAGTATATTATCAAAATGAGTATTAAACTGATTAATTGCGAGAAAATGTTGATTAAAATACCACAATTACAACGCTGACTCGCGATTTTGTGTTTTTGTGGCTAAGTCGAGATTGCGAGATTTTTCATCATGTCCTAATTTTCATTTGGCCAAATGTCGCGTTCTCGCGATCTCACATTCTCGTGTGTTTGGTATATTTAGCTCGTTTCCAAAAGTCGAGATCCCTTACAGTATTTCATACTTTTGTTCTTATTTACTTTATTAGTACAGCGTTGAGGATAGTGATTTATGCCAACAGACATGAGGGTGGCAGCGTAATGATGCGGGGATGTTTTTTATGTATGATTTCACATAACGAATATGACATGCATCAAGAACATAACAGCGCATTCTATTAGCCTATTTTTTACGATTCGGTGATAACACGTTTCTAATTTGTTCGATTAATCAGTCTTCTTGTCATTGAATAACAAAACATATTTGCGGCGAGGATGGAATATTTTGTTATTGAATTACATCAGTTGCGCTAGGGTTAGATATGGTATACCTTCGTGCTTGCTTATTCAGTATAGGGGCTTATGAGTGCGTTTATCTAACTTACTGCCCGCTCTCTTATTATGAGATATGTTCATTGGGATCCTACATATGTCCGCTTACCTTTACTTCTCAAATGGATACTGAGCAATATCGCCCGCCATGTCGCCATATCGTAATATCGATTTTTGCTATTTTGCCGCATCGCGTGACCATATCGCAATGTCGCGTCGTGTTGTTGCCATGTCGTGTTGTATTATCGCCGTGTCGGGTGGTATTATCGCCATGTAGCGTCGTATTATCGCCATTACGAGTCTTGTTATCGCAATGTCCTTGCGTGTTGTCGCTATATTATATCGCGATATCGCAATGTATTGTCGTACTATCGCTTTGTCGCCATGTCGCGTTGATATCTTAGGGCGATATGGCGATGGCCCTCATCAGCCACCATAGGTTACTGTGTGCGGAAAGACTGACGTGATGTAGGTATAGGGTGTTTACCACCCTGTTGAAACCTATCGGCACAGATATTTTCCGGACAAACGAAGAATAAAATTAACGACAAATCTGAGATTTGAACCAACGCCCACGGGATTCTCGAACTCTTAATGGATGCAAACTCGAACACTAAAATGCGTGTTTTAGGCGACGTTATATATATGGAAGAATGTATATCATCAGAATAATTTCACGCTATACCTGATGTTCAACTTCGTCTTTGAACAGCTTACGATAGCCCTCTAACTTTTCAAATTCTGCTTCTTTCTGGCTCTTTGTGCCATCTGGAAGAACGTTGGCATCGCGGAGCACTGTATCCCAATGTTTTTGCAATTCCTGTGGATTTCCTTTCTGTATATCCCAAACTGCCTTGAATTCTTGAATAAAAACATGGTTTGATGGTTTTAGTGTGAGTAAATTTTAACATTTGGTTTCCTTTTAAGTTTAAAGAGAAAGGTCTACAGGCATGATTAAGTATATGCATGGTAAATGTGAGGTGAAATGGGGTTTAACGTCGTGTCCAAGAGTATTGCACTTATATAGCGACGTGCAAGCACGTGTGTGTGTGGCTGCTTGTACTAGTCCGGACTTAAGCCGATTTATAGTGCAAGCACACTGAGATACCATGCCGCAGTTTAACATGAATACCCCTCTCAGACTCAAAGCCGACAAGTCCTTGTTTTAGCCAGACAGGGTAACAACAAGTGCCATCTTTCAACGTCTTTTGGTATGACGCGGCCGGGGATCGAACCCCGGACCTTCCGCTCCCCGGGCGGACGCTCTACCTCTAGACCACGGAAGCGGTCTGAATGGTAGAGACAGTGATGACAACATGTATGTGATCAGGGCGTTTATTTTCACCTTCAGATAGTTTAAGCGACAAATATGCAATGTGAATGTTTTAGCCACGTTTAATACTACAGGTTGATATACATTCCTTCCATGCGAAGTTCGCTCAAGTACTTTGAATATGTGTCATGATCTAGCTTATCTGTATACACCTCAATATATGTTGCGAATTTATCAGGCGTTTGGCAAATGTAAACATCAATTTACACTTTAACACCATATTTTGCTGTCCGAATATAACAGGCATTGACCAGTCCATATTCAGTATCTTTGTAGGCTTATTCCTAATACAGTTTCGGAAAACACAAATTATAACTTAAGGGATAAAACTAATCTTCAAAGTGAAGTGTAAAACAAAAGCTCACGCAGATTCATTTATACCAGTTACAACACAACTTCAGAATATGTTACCAGAAAACCTAACGGGGGCAGAGACCGTTACAAAATTTAAGAATTTGCTTCACATGAGAGGAGATAATGGTATACACTTGGATTTAAATAATGGAAACAGGTTTAATATGTCAAATTATTCACAGTCGCCTCAGGCATGGCTGCAGCGATCTTAACGCAGAGCAGTACGATAGATATATTTTGGATATCAAAACTTGTTCCTGTTGATATCATACCGAAGATGCTTTACACTTTTTGTGTGTGTGTACACATTACTATATTCTTCGAAATGAAATGTTATTGTTATTCTTTACAAACCGTGCTAAGCGGAAATTCGCATTTGAGTAAGCAAAAGCAAATCCAAACAAAAGATTCTATTCAAAACTTCATATTAAAACGGATTTAAGACAGATTTTCAATTAAGTAAATGATTGTTAAATATAAACAGCAAATATATTCATTATATATACACATCTAGCTTGGCATGTGCAATTCACTTGATACATCTCACCTCCATTGATGTATTTATTGTATTATGTCTTATGTGAAATGGAGCGGTATTAACATAAGCGCTTCGCTTGTTTACAATCCATGTTCACATTTTTGTGAGAATAAATCTGTTTAAATCATATTCTGTATCTGCCGTGCTCCCTAGTATCTTATCGGCGTCTGGTTCTATGTTATAATTGCGACATGCCATTTCAAACCCAAAATTCAGAGTGATATTTCTGAAAAGAAAAATTGAAATAATACAAATTAATATAAATTCCTTCCCGGTAAAGGCTATCACCTAAAATCAAAATAACAAAGCAGATTTTAGTCAAAGACCCATCTCTTGGGGTAGAAGTTCATCTCTGTCACCATTCTATGGTATTTCTGGAAAGGAAAGTAAACTTACAAAGTTGTAATATACGTGAAAGTCTTAATGTTGCTGATTAAGCGCAAATATATAAACTCTCGCTGACTGCTCAGTAACATTCATGTAATATTAGTAATATTCAAATAAGTTTACTTGTTCATGGTGTGTGTGACGTGGATACATACATGTATAAGCAACCAATGTATTATGATCAGGGTTCATTGGTATCCCTTCAGCAAGTGCGAATCAGGTCCTGACACATCTGTTTTGTCATGTATCACGCGCTATACAGTCGAGCCTCGCTTATCCGGACAATTGCTTTTTCTAAAATGTTGTCCGGATAAATGAGTTTCTGGATATCTGAATACCTTGTTAACTGACCAGAAGTCCTTCCCCTACCTCAATTCTACCGAGGCATATGTGAAATGAATGGCCAAAATATGATCTACCAATTACTAATAAAATACATTGTGCTGAACAGACCTACACAACATGCGGTGACAGCGCACTGCATTATTATAACGGCTGAAGAAATGCCAAGCAAATGAGGAAAAGATTTCTGTGATGAGTGTAGAACTCTGTGTGTGTGTGTGTGTGTGTGTGTGTGTGTGTGTGTGTGTGTGTGTGTGTGTATAAATACTGTGCACTATGTTTCCACAATGACTTCAAGTGGAAAGTGTTCATTTCCGATGCGAGATATTATGTTTAATTGTATATAGCGTGTAAATGGCAATAAGTATGACACTTGTGTCCCATCCCTTTGTCTCCTTGGACAGTAAAATATATTTGGTACAAATGAAAAAAACATACATCATACCATATTACATGTCTCTTATTCCTGCGTGTAATATATTAGATACACTGCAAAAAAACAGAACAAGTATGTGTGTAGACTTTATGGTCAAATGCACAGAGCGGATTAGCAGTCGGAGGTTCATTGCATTGGCGGTGACTTCTTTATTATTATCACTTGAAAGTGTTGAAATCGATTCGTGCTGAGCTCAGATTGGTTTGTACGGGATGTCGCGAAGTGATTTGTAACATGATTTGTGCATAGCAGATTAGCCAACTGGGTGGATTGCACAGAGGATGAAAGCTATATCATTATTACTTAAATGTGTTGAATTTGGTTTTACGGTTTAATTGTACGGCATACATTGTTATAATGTGAAATCTCCGCTGAAAATCGCGTGTTTTAAAACAGTAGTCCTCGGAAAAATCAACTTCCGTGTAAAAATATAATCAAAGATTTAAAAGAAAGTACTCCGAAAAACCGTCGCGGATTGTCCTGTTTTTGATCAGAGCTTTCAGCACCAAACATGCCTTTATTATTATTCATAACACAATGCTATTATTGTCTGATCTTAAGTTTCCGGGCATCATACGTTTTCTAAGACGAATACTTGCACTATAACGAGGGGTGTGGCATCACACAGAAATTGTAAATACTCCGATCAAGGCTTGTTTTTAAGATAACGTAGTCTTTTTAAATGAATGAGATGTTTTACAGTTGTTCATGTGAAAAAAAACTATGAATGTTTATTCAGCGTCCGAAAAATCATAACACGGGGATATATGTTGTATCAATGTCTTATGTTTTACAAAAGGAAAGTAGGTACAAGGTAAGTTTTTCTCAATATGCTTTAACAAGGGAAAGAGTCAGACATTGCACGTTTGTAGCAGTATTGCTCGCAGACCTGGCGGGGAGCCGGGTGCGCTGAAGCTATTCCCATTTTTTTAAAGTACTGATTTAACTTCGATATCTTACTGCATCCGCCATATTTGTTTATTTGACTTTACTTTTGCCACTGACTTATTACATTTGTTGGTATGAATATTGTCCAAACGGCACGAAATTGCTAAAAATGCAATGTTTAAAATATTTCTGGGGGCTTAGTCAACAAACTACGACCGTAAATGTATTGTACAACCGATGCAAGAAAATAAAAAAAATGTAACAAATCCAAATTATTAACAAGTGGAATATAAAGACTAATACCTGTACTTTTTAGAATAAGAAATTTACACATTGACGTATTCAGATTTAACTGATATTTTGCTTTACTTATATAAATGCGAATTGTGTTTCTTCATATACAATTCCACAAGGCATAAAACTTGCTTAAATCTAAAACAAAAAGTACTCTGGTTATTGCGCAAAGAAAATTCAGTACCAATGGAAGTACCAAAGCAATCATTTAACATATCGCAACTCAACAATCAACAAAATGACGGTATTAGTAGACACATCGTAGTATTTGAAGTTAAAAAATGATAACTTCATATTTATACTCATACAAAATGAACTCTTATATTTGTACACTAGTTTTACTGAATCGCAAAAGAAACGCGAGTACTGTGTGACTGTGAAATATGGTTAATTCACAAAGCGACAGAGAGGTCAATTATGATAAGTCTGAGACAGTTCATGTTTTGCATGCACATTGACCACAGTCCATGGAACGTTCTTGTAAGTTCTTGCTTTGGGCCGATCACACACATGGAAATGGTGGGGTGGGAAATGTCAGTACCTCATATGCCCTCCCTGGGTGTTCAACACAGCCATACACCTACGGTACATGGAGTGTAGCAGGCGGTTCACGAAGGCCATAGGCACCTGTGCACACACTCTGACGAAAGCTGCCTCCAGATCAGCACGAGTTCTTGTTGTTGGTACCACCTGGTTCAGCCGTCTCTGTATTTCATCCCACATGTGCACGATCGGGTTTAAATCCGGGCTCATGGCCGGCCATGACATGGTTTGAATGTTGTGCTGGTGCAGGAAGTTCCTGGTGAGGCTGGCCGTGTTGGGACGCGCGTTGTCCTGCTGGAACACGTGGTTCTGGTGACGTGCGAAGTAGGGAACGATGTAATGTCTCAGGATCTGGTCAATGTAGCGTTGCGCTGTGATGCCATTCCCCCTGCCAGCGCCAATATTGTGAAACACATGAGGGCCAATTCTCTGGTTCAGGCCTATAGCACCCCAAACCATGATGCTCTGACCACTCCACGGGTCTCTTTCCACGACACAATGGTCCGTATAGCGTTCACCCCTCTTCGCCACACCCTCACTCTCCCATCAGACGTGGATCCACAATACCGGCTCTCGTCAGAGAAGACAATTGTCCTCCATTGTTGATGCCGTCAATGTCGGTGTTGTGTAGCCCATTGCAGCCGTGCCTGGCGGTGGCGGGCGGTGAGGACGGGCACTCGAGCAGGCCGACGGCAATACAGGTTGTTGGTAGTCAGCCGACGTCGTACCGTATCGTAACTGATCGGTCGCCCTCTAGTGCCAATGGTGTTTCGAACTGTCACACTGGCTGGTCTGAAGCGATTCCGTAGGTGTTGGCGGTGGATGAACCGATCCTGCCTTGGCGTGGTGACTCGGGGGCGTCCACGTCGGACGCCGTCTGCAGTACTGTTTGTGATGTCAAGCTGCTACAGACGGTGGATGATGCTGACGTGAACATTGAAAGTGTTGGTCACAACCTGGGACCGTTGTCTAGCTTGTAATCGACCGATCGCTTGTTCTCTCTGTTGTGTGGATAATCGAGGCATACCTTCCGCATCAAAATTACGACTGCCACAAAGGGAGTTCAAGTTGTTTTTTATACCCATAGCCTCCATGAGTTACACGTCCATGTTGGTGTCCACGGCAAAGCATGGTAACTGTCACCCACGGCCTTGGACAAGGCTGCGTTGTGCCGACTAATTTCAGGCCTCGTTGTACCGTTCGATGGAATGTTTGTCTCAAAAACGCATCAGGACGTCACAGAATATTCACACAATATACAGTCTTGACATATATTTTCCGCATTGTACCATATAAAATTTATATTTTACAATCTCGCGTTTCTTTTGCGGTTCAGTATGATCGCTTAAGTCATCTGAAAATATATAAGTGAATGAGGAATATAATATATGTCCAATTATAATAATAGTTTAGTAATCCTCTATATCAGGTGACTATTCCAATTATTAATGGTATCAGGAAGGAATGAGTTGGCATAGCATTCTGTTCAGCAACTTGTAGCCTGTAAATTGGTTCGATTTCTTTAAAAGTAATCACTAACAGAAGAGATGTTTTCAAACTCTGTGAAATAGTGTTTTCTTTTGGTTATGTTAGTTTCTCCATAAAGTTCCTCATGACTTGTACCCCTTGTCGCCCCACAATAGTCCGTAATGAATCTAAGTGTAAACTTTCTGGGTTTGATTCTAAGGGTAAAAATATATACAATATTTTGTTGGCTCGACATACTTAGCTCCATAGTTTTAGTTATAATGTAAAAATTATAGTGATTTTGAATTATATTAAAACATTTTTATACATTTATGTATTTGATGTGGGAGGGGTAGCGACACATGCTGTATTTTATAAAAATGATTGTACAATTTGGATTGCTTTAAACCTGTTTCATCAAACAAATATAGGATTTGATGTTGTCATATCGTGACTCAATTTATTTAATATTACTTAATGACTTTGTTGTGTACTAGTCTTGAAGTAAATTTTATTTCTTCCAAATGTTCCATTGCGAACACATATAGAGTCCGCGCTCGTGATTGCCATATCTAAACTTACCTGAGCTCACTGTGTGTTCTGAAGTCAAATCCCTGTTAGGCATCCTGCACGGCTTCGTTCACGTTTACCCTCAAATGTACGATAGAAAAATCTGCGTTCGTGTGTTCAATGTTCGACTGCATTTTTGTGACAGGTGTTCGTTTATTTATTAAAATTCCACAAATTCATAAATCACATTGAGTTGCTCGCCTCTTCTCCAGTTGTGCACACTCTCCAATGATGCTAACTGTCTTGGTTAACTGGAGTCCGGATATAACTAATTACAAACTCTGTTCTAATTATGCTAATCGAGGAAGTGCATTATACCAGATGACAAACTTAGTTTTTCTGTCACACTAATCCTTGTTTACAATGAACGCATCTCAATTGACCAGCCAAACATCCTTTTTATATACTTAAGCAGAAGTATCACGATGGACAGTGCATACAACTGTTTGTCAAACAATATCAAGCAATATTTTAGATTCAGAATCACCATACCATGACATAACAGAAACATATTTATTAAATTGTGTATATTCATATTTGCCGCTATTCACGATAAATCTATTTTACCGTCACTGTTTAAAACTACCCCAAACTACTTGTATGTATAGATCATCTTATTTGTTAACAGTAGGGCGAACGTATTATATATCTAACTGTTACAGATGTCTGCAGAAATCATCTATTTCTCTATTATGTAAAATGCTGTCAACATGAATAAATGCCAATTATTTCATAACACTACAAATATAGTTGTCATAATGAACATAGTTTTAAAGTATATTTGCCACATGCAATAATACTGTCCGGTATTATTAGTAATATTTTCAATATCAACCACATATTGTGAGAATCCGGTAAGAAAACACTGTGTGAAGCAGTGGTAAAATCTATTCATATGTACAAAACTGTATATTTTTGGATATACCATATATACAAATTTTATATTTTGTATATATTGGAATTTTCCCTTGTGTTGCATACAAGAGGCGTTCCATCGCTGCACATTAATTACATTTCTTATGTTGTTACATTATTGATTGAAAACCACTGTTAAACGTCTGAAGAATTAAAGTTTACGGCTTGTATCTTTGGAAGCAATTCTAATGTGCATTTTAAGCGTGCCACAGGTAACTCGTGTTACAGGTAATTCCGTGTAGACGATAAGTGAAATCTCTCAAATTACCATACCTTTGACAATGCCCTTTATTTCTTGTCGTGTCAGGAATTTGCATCTCTTCTCATCGGTGGTCCCCTAAAAGGAGAATTCAATATAGAGAAAATATGCTTCTCTCGGTGTATACAACACAATCAGAGCTTTCTGATAAGTTACCACGTGGACTGTAGTTGGTATCGATGTGTTCGTCATATTATTTTTTATGTATTGTACTTTGGGTAAGACGCATTGTATGACATTAGATGAGGGCTCATTGATTTGTGCTTGTGTGATTATATATATTTCAATTACATCATTGTATTTTTTCTTTAAATTTAAATTGATAACGATTTCATTAATGTAATTACATGGATGTACATTTCTTGTGATATAAATATAGCATGTATAACTGAAATACAATATATATATACATATATATATATATAGTGAGTGAGTGAGTATGGTTTTATGCCGCTTTTAGCAATATTCCAGCAATATCACAGCGCGGGACACATTGTACCCATGTCGGGAATCGGACCCGGATCTTCGGCGTGACGAGCGAACGCTTTAACCGCTGAGGGCCCCGACCGTCCATATATATATAAACTGACGTCCAAAAGAAACTTTACCAACTGAAAAAATAAATTTCAGAAAACGTACAATTTTTTTTCGATGAAGTCTATCTAAAACACATAACCTAAATACAACAATAGTGTATGCAGAAAATGTTAATTGTCTGTAACATGTTTGCGAGATAACACGCGAAAAAGTGAAAAACACGTGCACGACAACTGCAAATGCACGTGCGGGTAAGGGTATAAAACGATTGCAACGGCAAGTCAGACATCCACAGTGATAAAAAAACAAAAACACAAAAGAAATGCCACGACTCACAGTCGAACAACGTGAACGAGCCTTAGGTATGGTACAGATGGGAGCCACCCACGCCCGTATTGCACGACTCTTCAGTTGCTCCCGTGTTGCCGTTACCAACTTGATGCAACGTTACAGACAGACAGGGCGGACCGCTGACAGGCCAAAAACAGGCAGACCCAGGGTGACCACGCCCCATGATGACCGGTACTTGCGTATCTTTCACCTCCGAAATCGCTTCCTGACAGTGACGTCATCGGCGACAAATGCCTCAGGTCACAGGGTTAGTCGACAGACAGTGGCCAGGAGACTCAGGGCTTATGGAATCAGGGCTTTTAGCCCATACAGAGGACAGCTATTGACAGCGCAACATCGTCGTCTGCGATTGAGATGGGCCCGGACTGTACGATGTTGGCAACGACGTGACTGGCAGAGGGTTGTCTTCACTGACGAAAGTCGATTCTTTAGGTTTAGGGCTGGTGGAAGACAACGTGTTTACCGCCGAAGGTTTGAACGAACGGCGGCGTGTTGCGTGCAGGAGGTCGTACCATATGGTGGAGGGAGTGTCATGGTGTGGGGAGGGATCTGTTGGCAGGAGAGGACACCGCTGGTCATCGTTGACAGAAACTTGACAGCTCAGCGGTACATGGATAACATTCTTCGTCCAGTTGTCCTACCATTTCTCTAACAGCAGCCACGTGGTGTCGTTTATCAGCATGACAACACTAGAACCCATACAGCCAGAATTGTCACTAACTTCCTCGCAGCCAACAACGTCAACGCCCTGCCGTGGCCTGCACGCTCACCCGAGATGTCCCCCAGAGGACACATCTGGGACTTGATGGATCGTCGTGTTCGACAACGACCACACTCTCCAGCCAACCGGCAAGAACTGATCTTGGCCCTCCAAGACGAATGGCGTCAAATCCCAAGTGACCTCAGCAGACGACTAACTTTTTCTGGGCGTCGAAGAGTTTTTGCGTGTATTGAGGCATTTGGTGGTCACACGCTCTACTAATGACTTGTTTTTGAACGTGAGCGATTGTTAATGTACTCTGCCTATTGTCCATGATTCTGAAAGCTCGAGTTTTGTACCACACCCGACTTTGGGGGTCTCGGACGTCATTCTCGGTCGCGGTATGATTGTCATTTTCAGTGTTGATTATGTTGATATATTGATCTTCTCAATACACTTTACTTCATGCATGTATGTTTTGTTGTTTTTGAGCAAGAGTGATTTCAAACTCTGGTAAAGTTTCTTTTGGACGTCAATTTTCCTAAAATTATCAAAACTTGGTTTCTCACCCTTAATACTTGATATATATCTATGGGTGGATGTTCTATACTGGATGTTATAACATGATTTAGTATAAGTTTATTTTTGTCAAATCCAAATATAACTGAGTATTCGGTAAATGAGATCCTAGTATTGATATCAAGGATTAAAAGGTTTCCAGTTTGCTCCAAAAGTGTTTAACATATTCCCATTCACAATATATGTGTATAAGCTTTTCACCATTTAAATCTCAAAAGGAGTAAATATCATTGTCAACTAGTTTCATTTTTAATAATTCCTTTTTGGTGTAAATGATTCTATGGATAAACTTAAACTGAAAGTCAATCAATTTAGTATCTTTAGTACATTTTCTGAAGCTTGAATAAACTTCTTTCCATGGAATATCATCGTCAAAAAGAGTCTGCCATTTTCCATTTTCTTCGGGTGGTTTTGTTATTGTAATTAGTCTATCATTAAAGTACCTAGATCCCTGAACGGGGACTCAATTGTGGACTGAGATTTAAGTAATATATTGGTATTTGGATATAGTGATTGACAGTGTTTCTCCATTCTTTAGGTATACTAAGTTTAACCTGATTATAATCTAGTTTTGTACCCTGTTTATCATAACGTACTTTTAATATTTCAAATGGAAGAAATCCATTCTCAATACATAAGTTGTCATTATACCCTTTTTAAACCAATTTTTAATTATGTAGTTGTGGCTGTGATAGAATTTCGGAAATCTTTTCTGACTTTGTTGTAAATTTCCTCCATAATTTCTCCAAACATTTAAAATTTCTCTCCAAAACGGGTTTTTCACTAATAAATATTTAGCAGCATTAACTCCTAAATTAATCATATCAGTGAAAGAAAAAACTGAAGGATTATCATATGTACTCGTTTTTAAATACCTTCTTAATGTAGATAATTTTAGTGATTCTATGAATAGTTTAATGTCCACCATTCTAAGCCCACCATCAGCATATTTTTTTCAGGTTTTGTCTTTTAATTTTATCTGGTTTATCATTCCATAAAAATCTAAACATAAATTTGTTTAAGTTTGTAATATAGTTTTTGGGGGGTTTGGCAGTGCCATAAAAATATGGACAAGAGCCAATGACTTGATAACAGTAATTTTACCTATAAGAGTCAAGTTTCTTCTTCTCCAGTTTGTCAATAGCCTATTTATTGTTTCAAGTCTTTTTCGAGTATTGATAACCCATAGATCTTGCAAATGGGGGTTGAGAGTAATTCCTAACACTTCAAAATTGCCTACATGCCAGTCTAATTTTAAATCTTCACAAATATTTGTTGAGCTACCTGCTTTCGACCCGATCCATATGGATTTTGTTTTATCAATATTTATTGTAAGTCTAGACATTTTGAAGAAACAATCAAGTGTATTTATTGCTGCATACATGCTTTCCGCCTCTCCGTTTATGAATAATTGTGTGTCGTCTGCGTCGTGACCTAATTTACACTCGTAATCATTCAATACAATTCCTTTAATATTTTTATTGTCTCTTATCATACAACCTAAGACTTTTACAGCAAAACGAAATATAAGAAGATATGTCGATATTGGGTCTCCTTGTCTGCATCCTCTTTCATTAATAAAGAAAGAAGACATATGACCGTTTTGTATTACACAGGAGGATGCATTATTAGTAGGTGTATCCATTTTATCATAAAAGGCAAAAAAAACACATTAATGAAAACTATCTTTAGGTCGGTTTCAATTTGCCAGCTTACAGCTGGAATATTGTTGATATTTGCTTTAAACAACAAACAAACAAAACTATAATAGAGGTATACCGCACCGTTTTTTTGTTGTCACGCTCATCAAAAATTAACGATGCGAGGCTCCACTCATCAGATTCGTCCATTTCGTCTTCAAGATATTCACAAATGTTCATTTCATCTTTTCTGAGGCTTTCTAACAAGAAACACGTATCATCCTTCTGGTCGTCCTTTAGCAGGTCTATTTTCTTAAGTATATCCCGACCTGAAACATTTTATCAAATAATTGTTTAGACATTTAAGGATTAGGGTTTCCAAATCACGCTGACGATTCAAATTACCCTAAACCGATCCATTATAATAATAACGGTACTTACTTAATAGGACTCTTTGGATGTCATCTTTCTCCATTCTGATATCTGCTTTACCGACTGCCTGCAAAACATCATCATTCGCTTCAAAAGCGTGTGACAAGATTATATTTCTTATTGATTTCACATATCTGAGTATTTGTCTGGATAATATAATTTTCCTGTTTCAGCTGTGAAGGGGTTGTATGCGAGGATTTCGTGACAAAACAAATAATAAACTGACATAACAAGGATACTAATTAGGGCGAACCTCATATTTGAACCCAAGATCAGTGTATCCTGGCTTGCCTAAGGGAATTAACGCTGCGAATTACGGCGCTTTCTACCACTGAGTTACAGGACTAAAGGACCATTTCTTCATGACCATTTAGCTTTATCTACTTTATAACGCTCTATGGTCTGTGTATAATGAGATGGCTGCTTTGATATCTTTGAAAAAGATCCGGTATGGTTTAACGCCACACTCAGCAACATTCCAGCTATATGACGGCGGATATCGAGGCTGGACCAGACAATCAAATGATTGATATTATGAGCAACGATCCACACCGTCGGGGTACCATGGCAACGAAGTCACCGAGCCTGACCAGCTGATCCATTCAGTAGCAAGTACATTTTGATTGGGATCAATTCTAACAGTAAATCCCCAGTTGGTGTGGTCTCTTGGTGTAGAACAGCATGTGCTATAAATTCCCATTAGATTTGTCTCTGTTTGTACCTTATCTGTGTAAGCCTCGTACAGTAGTATCTGGTATTCTCTCTCCCTGTCAGAGTCTTCATCTGTTTCTTCTGAAGGTAATTCTAGCTCAGCATTCTGATGCTGTAAAGCAGACATGATGTTCTTCGTGTCCGCCTTTCGTATTGATATAACTTGATTGATCTTCAAGATAGCAGCATGATCTGTAAATAAAAGTTGTATACGAATATTTATATCTTTGGGACACCTTCCAATTTATTAACTCAGTAACGGGTAACCGTTTATTTGGGAAGTGAATAAGTTACACCAAATAATGATAATAGCGCTAAGCTTGTTTTAACCGTCGATGGCGAAGTGGGCACTCGGACTGCACCTGGTATGGTGTGCCAGAGAGTTATATATTCTTAACTTGCAAGGGGCCAAAGATACCTTTTGGTTTTCGGATTTATTAAAGGTGAGGTGAGGTGAAATGGGGTTTAACGTCGCTCAACGTAAAGATTATTGCACTTATATAGCGACGTGCATGTACGTGTATGTGTGTTTGTGTGGCTGCTTGTACTAGTCCGGACTGATGCCGATTTATAGTGCTAGTATTATAGGCATAAAAGTGTAATATATATTTAAATAATTAACAAATAATTAAAGTTTTTAATAAAGCATTGAGAGACATACTGATATAAAAGATAAAGAAGGGGAGTTGGGGTCGGTAAGTCGGGAATATATATAGGTATAATACAGGCAGCTCTGGTAGTTGAAGACTACGGGAGCATGCCTGGCCACGAGCATCCAGGGGTGAGGGTAGTAGGTCGAGGGCTATACATTAACGAAAAATGATTAGCCAGATGAGGAAATAGATAAAGGGGTAGAATAGAGTTTAGAGGTACGGGAACGTCAGGGACTTGGGACATATATGGTATGGGGGGGGGGGGGGGGGGGGGGGGGTGGAAATAGTTCGAATTCCAAAAGGGTGAGAAGCTACATTATGGCAAGTCCGAATAAGGTTCTGGTTATTAGAGAAGAGTGGGGAAGAACGACTTAAGGTGAGGGGGAAAAGGTGTTTGACCAATAGAACATGAAAAAATGGGTAAAACCTTGACGTAAGCTTGGGGGTAAAAAGACGGGGAGACCCAAGGGACGGGGAGACTGGAGGATTCCACTTGAGCACCACGGTTTCGACCTTACTCTGAGAAACACCAGACCATACCTCCAGTATTTCGGCCAGGACTTAAGCTTCGCGGCTTAAGTCCTTTAGAACATCGTGACCAGAAGTTGGTGATCAATCTTGTGATTGAATAAAGCCATCGACGGAAAAAAACTCTTTTGTGCTCATTGGGAGAACTACGGTAATTTATCCAAGGGCCTCGGGTACTGACAATGTACCTCTCGCACATCCCAGACTGTCAGCACCAAAAAGAACGAGGGGATTGCCGTAGTCAGGTGAAGAGGTAACAACTGTTACACTCCTGCAATTAACATCAATTAACGCCGGTAATTAAGGTGTTAAAAGTACCTTGGATACTAGCACACTGAGATACCATGCCGCAGTTTGACATAATACCCCACTCAGACACAGTATACTGACTCCAAGCCGACCAGTCCTAGTTTTAGCCCCCTAATGCCAAGCGCCAGACAGGCTAATAACAAGTACCATCTTTTAACGTCTTTTGGTATGACGCGGCCGGGGATCTAGCCCCGGACCTTCCGCTCTCCGGACGGACGCTCTACCACTAGACCACGGAGGCGGTCTGATTTATTAAAGTACTTGCCAACAGATGGTTAAGAGAACTTCGCATGACTGTGTATGACCCTGTGTATGATAAGAATATTGGAAGGTGAACACAATGGTGAATATATAATACATACGCGTGATTATTCTTTTGATCTCTTTGAGACACTGTTCAATGTCTTCACCAGTTACATTGTCATTTCCTGCAACCTTTACATACACAGCTCTCTTCTCCCCTTCGTCCTAAAGAACAAATAATGGTAAGTATATAAGTAGTTTCGTATGAGCCTGGCTGGAAATAACATAAAAACAAACTGTAGACGTAACTAGTTAAACCAGCAAAGGCCAAAAGCCTTAAGCACTAACACATGTACAGTAAACTACGGTTATAACGAACTCAAAGTGACTACTTATTTTAGTTCGTTATAACCGTAATTGGTTATAAGCATAATTATATACAGCATAACTACAGCATATAGTCGGGACTAAAAAGTTAGTTCGTTATATCCGTTTGTTCGTTATAAGCGTGTTCGTTATAACCGTAGTTTACTGTAATGTTCACTGTTAACCTAGAAATACTTCTTCGTTTGGCAATGTGACTAATATGTACTCACCGACAAAATAAAAATAGATGTGGTTTTAAATATATTTATCTGTGACATCTACAAGGCTTTAAGAGTATGGGTGTATTTGGAAGATTACAAAGTGAAACAGAGTTCGTCAAACGTTAACGTCTTTAGGTGTACCGGTAACATGATTATCTCAAGCACTGCCATCGCAATGCTTAGTACCGTATATGTTCACCATAGACCTGAATGGCTGCACGACGCCTCCTGCCTATGGAACATAGAACTGTGGATGACACTGTGTGGAATTGTAGAATTCTTGAAGAACTTGGAGTAATTCTCTGGCCCTGGCTGACGTTGACGTTGACGTTGACGTAAACGTCTGTCTACGTCATCGCAACGAGGCTAAAGTCATCTTGGCAGCCACGACAGTATGTGTATGTTCTGACCTCTCAGGAAATCGGTTCAGACTCGTGGCATGTGGGGACGAGTGTCATGCTTCAAATGGGGCCTAAAACGGGGACGTAAGATTTCGTCACAAAAACGCACACTTGTAAAGTTGCATTGGCTATGAACAAGATCTGCTCTTCGCCATAGAGACTGCTCCCCACATAATGACGTTGCCACCGAATCTGTCTACTTCTTGTACGCAACATATAACGCTTATTTCCGTCGTGGATACGCACGGATCCACCCATCTCTCCTTTGAAGAAACAGACGAGATTCGACACTGAACCAAGCGCTACGCGAAAGTTGGGGAAGCTTCTTTCTCGGATAGGGCACGGGTGGTTCAGTCGTCTAAGGCGCCGCGATTCGCTGTGCAGAGTTGCGTCCCTTCGGCACGCCAGAAATCTATAATTGCGGGTTCGAATCCCGGTTCGCTCCGATTATGTTTCTAGGTTTGCCAGTACCATACCCGTGTTCGTGGGTTTCACCGAAGTGGTAAACATCTGAGACCAGCATCACTTGGGCTTTCCTCTAACATTATGCTGACACGCCGCGATATAACCGGAATACTGTAAAAAGCGGCGTTACACCAGACTCATTCACGCGGATCCCGCCAGCGCATAAACGGTAAAGGACAGTCTCTTTACATATGAGACGTAAACTTTTAGTTTGAGTTGCAGTGTTCATCGTGTACAAGGATGCAGGTCACGCATGTAGCGATCCTTGGCTACTGTGGTGATATGTGGTTTCTCTGATCTTGTTGACGATATCTTTTCGAAAGTTGGGAAATTGTGCTCTGGGCAACGTTGAAATGCCTTGCAACTGACGCTTGGGATTCACCAGCTTAAGCCTACCAATAGCGCTATTCCCGCATTTTGATCATTTATCAGTGACTCGAGGCCTGACAATTGTCACAAAATCATTCGTTACCTGAGTCATAAACTTGCCCATAAAACGGATGCCCAATTCCATGACTTGCAAGTGAAAAGTGCATTTCAGTCCCCAAGAAAACGAATCATGTAAATGTCGAATGTTCATCGATATTCACTCTATCAAGGACTGTCACAATAAACCCGTTTTGTGACACTTTGTCGGTAAAAAGGAAAAGTTAGACTTTATGTTCATCTAATAGTGCAACATGGATTACTTAAGTACATTTAAAGGTATTCTTACCCACTATGCGTTGAAACTTTCATTTTTACAGAGTATATATACTAATAATCGCAACGAAGAACAGGACATTATTTAAGTGAGATGTTTCTAAGTAACGGGGCATGCCTTGGAGATGCCTCGGAGCGCTTTTCTTTTAAGCGTCGTCATGTATGCACATTTAATCAAATCTTAATGATCTGCCGAGAAACAAAACAAAACAACAAAATAACCCTTAGTGTGCCTTATCACCTTGCTCTGTGTCAATAATTTGTGATAAGCGACAAACGTTTCTTCCTTCTTTCCTTTCACGACTTCGTTTAAGTCGAAATATTTGATCTTCATTGATGCCCTTAGTTCTTTGGATGTTGCAGACCTCATCACCCTGACAACCGACTGGTATCCTGTAATCACAAACACTTGTTATCATGTGGGTGTTCTGTTGAGTGGGGTAGTGGATATTCGTGTAAATAGGATTATGCATGCAATAATAACATAACAATGGCGAACCTTCGAGTTGGAAACATTTCTTGACAATCTCTCACAAAACATTTATTACAATATATATCAGCACCTGAAGTACAGTTGAATTTGCAATATTCAATTGACGTTTCTGCATTCAGGGCCATACATACAAGATGACATACTAGTTGTTCAATCACGATTGTGCCTTTCTATATTTATATGTTAAACATTATCAGAACAGGGCAGAACGGATATGTATTACGTTCATGCCAAATTATTCAGGATATGAGGTCCAAATGACATTATATATACATACAGTTAGTGATGGTGGGTAATTCTTGCAGGGAGATTTTCAGAGTTTCATTATTTGGCTCCAGAATTTACATAGGTTCTCCTTTACAGATAATTTTGTATGTCCTTGGAGAAAATGCTTGAAATTTTAATATATTCGTTCTCAATAAATATGAATAAGATATATACAGTTTTCTTTCTTTTCATTAATGTGTACATTTTATGATATAATTCATCCTCAATATCATCTGTACAACACAATTTACTTTTTCTATCATATAAAGGTATCTTATTCCGACGTCCCTTTTCAATAGGTAAACGGAAAAAGAGTAATTATATTGCTGGAGTTAATGGCATGGACTTTAGTTAATTTCGACCAAAACGTTAACATACGGAATTTAACGTCAACAGAAAGTGGAACTCAGCCTAAATCGCATGAAGCATACACAAAGGAGGACTTTTCTTTTCAGGTATTTTTTTCTCCTAAAACACACATGGATATTTTTATTTACACACCCACAAAACAAGAAAAATCATGCTATCAAAAAGTTATAATGGGACAAAATACATAGCTTTAGAGGCCTGTTGACAAAGATGACAAAAATGTGTTATTGCTTTGGGTATGTTTAAACTTGACGTGGCTAATAGGATAGTGTCATCGATATACAATACAACAAACATTGATATTGAGAGGTCAAGCATTGAGTCGGGTGTATAGGAAATGATTGATAATCTTGGACAATCTTTAGATATTAAGAAGCTGTCTTAGTCATTTGAAAATAGAGAAAACAATACTGGTGATACAATGTCTCCGTGACGGACACCGACAAGACATGGGAAGAATTCTGAGTCAGTTCCCCATACAGAAACACATGATTTTATACGTTTATACATTGATTTAATCATTCCTAAACATTTACCGTCTATACCTTGCTCAAATAGCTTTGCCCACAGTGCAGCCATCCAAATACTATCGAAAGCTTTTTTTAAAGTTGATGAAACAACATTCTTTTTCCTTCGAGATTTAAAAGGTCCACTAAACAATGAAGGGTAAATATATGGTCATTAGTGGAATATGTCTTACGAAATCCAACCTCTGCTTCTGACACATTATTTTGATAGTTAAAAAAATTAATTCCGTTACTAAGAATGTTGGTAAATAACTTTCCAAAACATCTAAACACATTTTTGGTCTAATATTAACAATTCTGTGTTTATTCTCTTTACCCTTGTAGATAGAACGAATACCATAATCCATCATTTTATATTTGGTTTAATAATTAAGCATATAAATGTAACATAATGTATCTAGCGGTGTTGATGCATTCATTAATTATCTGATCAGGGGCCGGGCTTACCGTTTTTCAGATCAGAAACAGCTAACAGTATTTGTTCACTTGTAATTACACTGTTTAAAATTTAAGTACTGTCGTCAGTGTCTATATGTAACTGATCAGCGAGAGATCATCAGGTTCTTCATTAAGCGTATCGTCATTGAAGAGTTTGAAGTGTTTAAATTGTCCTTCAAGTGGGATAAGGCCCAATAGCATCTTTTCAAACAACAACAATTTTCATAATGATTTCGTATCATCAATTTGTCAGTTAGATAATTTGTTCTGTGAAGCATTTCGGGTGTGAATTGTTAAACTTTATCTGTCTTTTTATAAGCTTTACTTGCATTGACATATCTTTGTTTATTTTCTGTTGTTTTATTTTTTTGGAGAATAGTTTTAGTCTGATTATATTTACCTCGCCTGATCTTACAATCACAACCCCAACAGGGTTGGGGTTGTCGGGTAACATGTTTATTTCGTTGTATTGGGTTATTTTAAAGCCAAATAGTGACTTTAATAAATACATTTATTAATATCATCAAGAATATTTGTAAGTGTTTGGTGGTCACCGATTGGAGTCTCAAAGTCAGACACAATATGGCCTAATACATTTTGATGACAGTCAATGACACTGTAAAAATTATTACGACAGTGAACAATTTGTGCAATTGTTGCAAATTAATGTAACCTAATTACTTTTTGCATGTATTTATATCAATATGTCTATGCACGTATGTCATTGTTGCAATAAACTCTCCCTATATATGACAACTTAGGACAGATAGGTACAAAGACACACAATCAACGTACAATGTATATAATAGTTGAATTGTATGATATGCATTACTTAGAAGTTGACGGATGACAAAATAGACACAGTCTATGGCCCATTAAGCAAGAATCACCGCACCTATACAACTTATTCTGTTTATTTGGCTTCCACCTATGTGTTCTCCGCCCATCATGTTGTGACAGGATTATCCTTCTGTTGTCATGACCTACTCATGTTATCCCAGTCATGTATGCAATTGCTGTTACTGCTTATCCTCTTCTTTTAATCCTCCACCTACTATATATATTCTGTACAATGTCCCTCATTCAGTCTTGCGTGACAACGGTATAAGGATCTATACTGAACCGTCGCTTTCTACAGTATTAAAGAAGTTGTTATCCATAAATTGTGTCTACTTTGTAATAATAGATTGATTGATTCTGACCATTGTTTGTCGCGTCCGTTGACTGGACCACCCGATCCATGATATTGCTGGAGATGTATTCTTACCCGTAATCCACATGACGATCACTGTGTTTACTTTTCTAGACGTAACAATGTAACAACGATAATAGTACTTACTGTTCACATGATTAATAGCATCTTGGATTTCTTGGATGTTCAGTCGTCGACAGAAGATGTTCGCGAGGTTCTTAGTCTTTTCCTAAAATAAACATAGAAATATACTTGTCTACATAAATTAAATGTCTTGCCAAGCATCACTGTTGATTTTTTTGTTAGGTTTTTAAATATAATGTTTGTCGACAATCATCTATCATCAGGTAAGTATGTGAGTGAGTGGTTTTGATTTTACGCCGCTTTTAGCAATATTCCAGCAATATCACGGCGGGGGACACCAGAAATGGGCTTCACACAGTGTACCGGTGTCGGGAATCGAACCCTGGTCTTCGGCGTGACGAGCGAACGCTTTAACAACTGAGGTACCCGATCCCCCCCTTTTTCAGGTAAGAAAAAGAAAGGTCTCATGAACACCTGAAAGTTTCAGGACATTATGCCAAAACAGTAGAAATGGGATCCTGTTAAATGTAAAGGACTGATTTGAGCCCAACAGGGAGAGATCTGAGCCAGGAGTGAGTGTTTTAGGCCTAGTAGAGGGGAGAGACCTGAGCCTAGGCTCAAATCGCTCCAGAGTGAATTTATAGGGGATTGTTTTGAGCCTGCAACACCGGCCCTGGATCTGTTTTTAATAAAGAAGCCCAATAACTTTGGTTTGGCCTAACCTTGTCTTGCTTTTCAGTTCTCTTTTTCCGGAATTCGTCCATGTATTCTTGAGCAAAATTCAGTTCATGAGTGCCCACTTCCACGTTTTTTATTTTTCCAGATGTTAGTCCCGTAATCCAGGAGTCGTCCTCATAGAATCTTCTGATCCTATGATCAATGACTACACACACCCTCTCGGCTGTAATAAAAAAAAAGAATCATGAGAATGCAATAATGTATCGGAAGACATGCATGTAAACATGTAATTACTAGCACCTGCTGGCACCAGGGACGCATCTTAATGAGACATCACCACGTACTTTAAATCCCCGTTGGAATATCTCTGTTGAACGTTCTCCTAATGCCCCATGCTGATCGTAGAGCCGAGTAATGACTATAGGCTAGTCATGCTTGATGACTTTGGTGATGTTGTGCCATCCATGACAGGACTGCTGACTAAAGAGCTCTCATTTACTCACATTATGTTGTCAGTATACAAATACACATATGTCGCCCTTGTTCAAGGAAGCAGCTTAAATGTGCACTATACCCGTTCCGTATGGATTCAACACCGATCGTCACTTGCTTGATAATGGTCGCTCCTAATTGTTATAAAGAAGTTGTTCATCCATATATCTTATCCTTACTTAGTAATCCAACTTCTAAATGCCCCTCAAAGAAGTTACTGGAGCATAGTGTTTACTGTAGGTGGATGAAATGTATTTTATCTTTACGGTAGATTGGAAATATTGAAAACATATGAACGTGACAATGTCACGTCATCATACCTTAGTGCCATCCCTTTTGTACATCTCAGTTTTAAAGCCAAATTTGAAATAAGGTATAAATCAACCCGAACATTTGCATATTAATGTTTCAACAACATTGCCCCAAAATATCTCACTGATCTCTTTCCAGTCTACTCTCCACAGAGAACTCTCCGATCTCAACAACAGAAACTTTTTTCTATTCCGAAAATCAGAACATCCACGTACGGCGAAAAAACATTCTCTTATTCCGCAGCGATTCTATGGGACTCTCTTCCAAATAATATGAAATTATCTCTTTCAGTCTATTAAATCACACATCAAAAGCCAACCTTTTAAACAAACACTGTCAATGCTAAGCGCACTGAACACAACGTTTTGCGCCTTTTATGCGCTATATATACATGCATCATCATCAAGATAATAAAGAAGAAGAAAAATTGTTTATTTTTGTCACACAAGATAAAACATGGCCACCCATTCTGGGTTATGAGAGACATTTAACATATAAACAAATTATAAACTAAATCACATATTTAAAACATATAAGTATTGGGTCACACGAGCAACCTGCACTTACAATATCAAATATTACCCACGATGTAATATCTAAATATAACCTGCAATACAATGCTTAAAGACGACCCGCAGTGTAATATTCGGATACAGACCGATGGAAACATTATATTATTATGATATGTTTACATCCATACGTCGTCGAAACATCAGGGACACTGTTGCAGCTAGGCAATGTTGTATCTCCTCGTTTTGCATAAGGTAAACAAACTGATTATATTTGGCTAAACTGAGAAAATTATTGTCGGTGGTGTGAGCATCCATCAGTAAGTTACAACGGATATCTGAGTATAGTCTGCAGTTCATTAGGAAATGAAATTCGTCTTCTACGATATTTTGATTACAATTGTTACATGTTCTTTCCTCTAGAGGAATTGGTGGTCGACTAAATCTTCCTAATTCAATTTGAAGAGGTAGAGTGCCACATCTCAATTTAGCAAGCTCACTTCTATGTTGTCTGCTTCTGATTAATTTAACGTCTGGTTCTGTGCAGGGATTAACTTTAAATTTCCTATAAGTACGAAGCTTATTACCGTTGGCTAGTCCCCGGTCATTCCACAGGTCGTTAAACCACGTAACAGAGTCCATATGGATTAAATGTTCTTTAATGGTCTTAAAATCTTGATTTGACACCTGCAGTATATTTGGGATATCGATGCCTAACTTCGCAAAGACTGATTGAACGTTATTTATCCAGGGTTTACATCTTCTTTTGGACCACGTAGCGATTTTATGAACTATTCTGGCTTGTTCAATGATCGACAACTTCTTACATAACCTAATGACTTCAATTCTCTGCAGGGTAAGCGAAGACAGCCAACCCATCTCTCCCCTGACAGCCAAGTTAGGGGTTTTACAGCTGACGCCCAAGGGTCAGTTTTCTTAATAGGATGAATAATGCTTAGTTTCCAAAGTTCAGGATATGTTTGGTTTTCGAAGCAGAAGTTGAAATTTGGCGTTTTCAAAGCTTCAGCGGGTATCAAATCTTGTCCCGGTGACTTCCCTCGTTTAGATCTTATACGGCGCTCTGTACCTCACACAAATTTATGGGGCTGTTTAAAACATCACAGTTTATCGTAGATGGAAAAGGTTCAGCTATTTGTTTAAGCAATTCGTCCGATATATGACTATAATGATCGTCATCGTATGAGTTATCGTTATCGTCGGCGTGCAGGGAATTGAATGATTCTTTCCACGTGTTCAAAACTGTTTGTTTATTAGTAGATATACGGTCTACTTTATATACTTTCCACGGAATGCTATGAGATCTATCATTTGCTCTCTTCAAAGGCGGCGTTAACGTAATCCATCTTCGAGATAGTGTCGATGGCTATAATGGCTATAGTGGTTAAAGTGATTCTTGTAACATATACTTACTGTTGTAAATACGTATCTGGTCATCTATCTCTTTCTGCGTCAATTTGTTGGGTATAGAGCCTGTTCCTTGCGCTACTTGAACCTTCTACAACAAGAAGATTACAGATTACTTGAATTGTAAACACCAGCTATTCAGTGTGTCACTGTTCTATGAAGTAATGTAATGCTTGGAGACAGATGACATAGATTACTAACTTTATCTGTTGGTCTAAGCTAAGGTCGTTGTGATTCTTTCACCTTTTCTTTTGCCTCTTGAAGAAGGACGCAAGTGTCCACCACATCCCTCTCGGTAACATTCTTGAGATTGGGCAAACGTCTCAGCACACCTATGGTTTCCTTTCTGTTGTCCTCGATTGTTTGGTCCTTTCCCAGTGCAACGTCAAGATCGACGAGTACGTCTGTAAGTAAACCACATAAACTAAAGCTTCCAATGCCCAATAGATAACCTGACAGTGACGAGTACAGAGTATCAGGATACAAAGGTCTTTGAAGCATAAGTTCATGAGCATCCTACGAGTAAGAATTTGTCTCATTGCATCGATAAGAACGAGGTCTTGTCGAACGGTTTCGAGTCCAGGATACATAGAGCTGAAATACTGTCGTGATCTTTTAACATGGTAGTACTATCCTTGCAGTCCCTCTCTTCTGAAGGTTAGTTTTGTACAAGGTCAAAATCTGATCCTGGTTAAATCGCCGACCCCGCACACTGAAAATAGGTGTTAGTCACTTGGAGCCAGATTTGGAGAACTGTTTGTTTGTTGTTTAACGCCGCACCCAGTAATATTCCATCTATTTTAAGGAAATCTGTAAATATTCGAGTACTATGTACAACTGACTTCATGAGCATCGATCTACGCAAATGCATCAACCAAGTCAGGAAGTCTGACCACCCGAAAGTTGCCTTACAACAAGCACGAATTCTAACCCGGATTTCACGGGTTTCTAGTAGTGAGTGAGTGAGTTTGGTTTAACGCCGCTTTAACAGTATTCCAGTTATATCATGGCGTGTCAGCTTAATGTGGGAGGAAAGCCCGAAGTGATGCAGGTCTCAGACGTTTACCACTTCAGTGAAACCCACGAGCACGGTATGGTGCTGACAAACCACGGAACATAATTGGGAGGAACCGGGTTTCGAACCCACAACCATAGGTTTCTGGCGTGCCTAAGGGACGCGCTTTAGACGATTGGGCCACCCGTGCCCCCGGGTTCTTAGTAAAAAAGGTAGAGGGGGTAGAAGCAAATGGGAATGAGCCGTGAACCAAATTAAAGTGTACTCATAAAGCATCGATGGTGGAAACCAATATAAACTAGTGTCCAAAAGAAACGATACCACCTGTTTGCAACGACATAAAAGAAAAACTAAACAATGCAGAAGTTTAGGATTGGTGTTATGCTTTTGAGAAATCCTTTCACAACATCTGTACAAAAATTTCATTTCAATAAAATCTGTACAACCAATATGACAAGCCTTTAAAGATAGGTGGGGTCGAAAAATGAACATTTCGTTAGAGCACTGATCACAGAAACAACGGGAAATGTCACACCACACGTCTCAAAGTCAAGTCAGTAGCGGGTATGTCCACCGTGAGCATCAATACATGCCAGAACACGCCTACGGGCTGATGACGTCAAACGTCTGATGACGTTGGGAGTGATGCGTTGCCATTCCTCGAGGAGACATCGTTCCAAGTCCTGGACGTTGACTGGAGGCACACGGCGACGTCAGATTTGCCGATCGAGGTGGTCCCATAAGTGCTCGATGGGATTCATGTCCGGTGAACATGCGGGCCATGGCAAAACCTGTACGTTGGTGTTGGCAAGGAAGTTCTGTGTCAATCTTGCTGTGTGTGGCCTTGCATTGTCATGTTGGAAAAGGAGTCCACGAGGCTGTTGCTGAATAAAGGGCACCACAACAGGCCGTAGGATGTCATCAAGATAACGCTGTGCATTCAGGTTTCCACGAATTACGACAAGCATCGTTTTGACGTCACCACATATGCCACCCCAAACCATTAACCCTCCACCTCCAAACGGCCGGACCTGTTGGATACAGTTAGGCGCCAAACGTTCACCAAATCGTCGGTATACATGCTGCCGTCCATCGTTTCTGAAGATGAGGAATCTGCTCTCATCAGAGAACATAACACGTGCCCAGTCCCGCCGTTGCCAACGTCGAACTCGCCTGGCCCAGATCAGTCTGTTGTTCCGGTGTCGAGGCGTCAGGAGCGGTCCGCGGTAGGGATGACGTGGCCGGATACCATACTGCCGTAGTCTCCTGTAGACGGTCTGTCGACTGATCCTGTGTCCCAGTGATGTAGCCGCCGTGGACGTCGCTGTTACGGTACGGTTCCTCAGGTGTAATACCCGGATGTAACGATCTTCACGGGGCGTGGTTACTCGTGGTCTTCCACTCCTGGGCCTGTCTGACGTCTGACCTGTCTGACGTAACCGCTGCATCAACTTGGTGATAGTGATGCGTGCTCAGCCCAACCTTCTGGCGACGTCGACGTGTGACGCTCCTTGTTGGACCATTCCAACGGCTCTCTCTCTCTCGATGGCTGTCAAACGTGGCATATCTTGTGTTCTTTTTGTTGCTGTGATATCAACGTGTCTGATCAGCCGTTTAATACAGTTTTTCTGCACGTCCAAAACATGCTAGAGAGGGAAAATGTCACTTTCACGAAATTTACGTTTTTTCCCGGAAGTGATCACGTGTTCCCGGTATTTTTTATCGACTATGCTGTGTTTGGGATGTGCACTACGAATTGGCATGTTTTCATACTTGACAATTCACTCAGTAAAAAACAATTTTGAAAATAAGTTGGTATCGTTTCTTTTGGACACTAGTTCAATAGAGTTTCACGGGATAGAATGGGTCCTGAAAGAAATGGTTATACTTACTTTCAGATGGGTGAACTGGGGACGACACAACAACGCCCATTGTGATTTACTGGAACATCAGAGAATCAAAAAATAAACATTGGCACAAACCCTTTCAAATTGATAAAATATTATTGCACCAATGAAGCTTCAAAATGTCGTAAATACGTGACACTGTGTGCATTGTGAAAATTCTATTTTTATCTTCCTGGGTGTCTGCAGGGTAGTAGTCATTTTGATTTTTCTTCCAAAAGGCTTGATTATTCTTCGTCGACAACAAAACCTATTCCAATACGTCACCATATTCCCCGACACTATTCCATAACCCGTTACTCAACTGAACTGCTTACTGTGATAGATACGAGACGGGCGGCTTTTGATTAAAAACAGTCTTACACTGCAAGTGTTTGTTTTGTTTGTTTGTTGCTTACCGCCGCTCTCAGAAATATTCCAGCTACATGACGGCGTTCTGTCAATAATCGAGTCTGGACCAGACAATCCAGGGACATCATGAGTATCGATCTACGCAATTGAGATACGATGACATGCATCAACCAAGTCAGCGAGCCAAGCACAGTCGCTTTACATGAAGCAAGGGTTGCTGAATACCTATTTTCACCCGGACCTTCGTGGGTCTACACTGCTAGTGAGTACATGCCACTTTATCAGGGTGCTTTCAGTGACCCATCAGCAGCACTCATCCTTGAAGTGGGGAAATGTTTAAAATTCGTCATGAAAATTTGGTTGATATGAATGTTGTATGCTTTGTATGCTTTGAACTTTCTCAACAATCATATAATGAAAGATTCATCTTGGGTCAAGTATATATATAACACGTCAACGCCAGAGAATAACCAGTCTCGATTATCCGCCGAAACAGATTCAATTGGGCGTAGAGCCGTCTTTTAATTTTAGTCACTTTAAAAGCTTTCCAAATCGAGTTTGTACTCATGCAAACTGACATATATCTTATTATAATAAGGGACTTGAGTGTGAATAGAATCCAGTCAGTTGCCAGAGAGTTGCCTGACCAGTTTTTACCTTCCGTAGTCTGTATGCATGTGATATGCGTAATTGAATCGCTCTCTACTTAAAGTCCTTGATCAATAGGTGGACGGCGCCTCAATATACATGTATGTAGCTTACACTAGCTTGTTGTAACCTCCACCCCAGCTGTGCGATCAATCTTTCAGTAAGTCAGCGATATCCCCCACAGTGCATGCAGATCATGAAGGCCTCGTGTCGCCATACTTTTGAACAAGAATGTTGCTTACACAATGTACCTGTAAATAAAAGTGATGTCTTTCGACATCAATATATGTTAATCTAACGTTTTACTTGTCTGCTATAGTACATATAATTTGTGTACTAAAATTCTACAAAATATATTAATGTATTTATCCGTTCATAAAAAGTTCATATGTGACACGACTGTTTATGGCCCCGATAAATGTTAATACTGGATTGAGTAAGGTGTTAGAATACAGTTTTGTGACTATTGAATTTACAACGTCAAAGCCAGTAAATAATTCGAAACACATTCCATTAGGCGTACAAGGCAAAATAGTCATGTAAATATGTGAATGGATCACTAACAATCAGTGGTAGCACCATGTGTTCGCGAAAAGGGTTAACGTGTCCTGCTCTGCCATTAGCACCCGCCATTGACACATTTTGCATAAAGAATATAATTAACAAATATTACGGAAAATAGTTATCGACGCAATGTTAAAAACTGATATACGTGACCCTCATATGGACGCTTTGCATAGTGTTCTCAGGGACAGAATCTGATGTATTTTCTCCTTGTTCGTTTATTATACAGAGAACGTTTCCTCCAATCGAGGCATTTTGGTGAATGCAGTTTAATTTGTTGTTGTTTCAATTATGAAAAAAATCAAATTCAGTTTTGTAATAATATAAGTTTAAAGAATATATGATTACATTAAATTGTTTCTCTTTATGCGAGTGTCTCTTTTTTCAGAATGAACTAGGAGGAATAACTTACGGCGTTATAAGTAAGGGGCGGTGAGGTAGCCCATGGGTTAAAGCGTTCGCTCGTCACGCCGAAAATCAGGAATTGACTCTTGACATGGATACAGTGTGTGGATCCTATTTATGGTCTCCCCGCAGTGATATTGCTGGAATATTGCTAAAAGCGGCGTAAAATCAAACCCATTCACTCACTCACTCACTTTATAAGTAGTATAGTATCTGTTGTTGATATATATAACACGTCTTTGTTTGTAAGACCATATTCGTGCTCGTGGATTTCACCGAAGTGGTAAACGTCTGAAACCTGCATCACTTCGGGCTTTCCTCCCACATTAAGCTGATATACTGTAAATCTTGAAAATAACGCGAGAGTGAATTAAATGCGAAAAATGCGAGTGGTCTTTGCTCGCATTATTAAACATTGCATTTATATCCACAATAGGACATTTTGGATAGAAGAAAATACCTACTTAGACATACGCTGGAAACAAACAACTATATATTCCACATAACTGTTTATTGAGCAGCATGTGTAACAAGTATATAAACAATGTCATTCAAACACTAATTACGTACATCCTGTGAATTGTCACTGCTGGGGTCAGTAGTACTCTACTCAGCGTTAATAAGCGGTGCTATTTGGAGTGATTGGATTAATGTAAGGTTGGACTAAGGTGAGGATTCTCCTGTAAACCTGACAGAGGAAATTTTCTTTAGATATCAATCCACTGATTCTTGAGAAGAGGGAGTTGCCGCATTCATATCGAGTCGCTCTTTTGGCTAGGGGAAAACGGTCGCATTCTTTTGGAGACGCATTAATTTCACGATTTACAGTAACTGGAATACTGTTAAAAGCGGCGTAAAACCCAACTCATTCACTTTGTTTGTAAGACGCGCTCAAAACACGACGGCATAATTGGAAGTATTACAGTAAACTACGTTTATAACGAACACGTTTATAACGAACTGACGGATAAAACGAACTTACTTTTTGTCCTGACTATTTGCTGTAGTAATGTTGTGTATATGCATATAACAAACTACGGCTACAACGAGCTAAAATTAGTGGTCCCTTTGGGTGCGATATAACCGTAGTTTACTGTAAATTGATATACCACTTCAACCTGTACTTGTGAACTAGACAAGATAATTTACGATAGTGTCGCATACGGTAAAGAATAAACATATAACACGTTATTTAAGCAATAAAATGTACTCTATCAAGTCTGTCAAAGGTTAATGCGATACTTCTTGAAACATGATTAAAATAGATACATTTACCAAAACTGAAAGAAATATCAAGTCTCCGAAATGAAAATATTTTCCAGAAAAACAGTTGCTAAATTATCCTAATGAAACATAATCCAAAGAAGTGCAAAGACTTTTTTCATTTTCAGAAATTGAAACTGCACTGATCTAGATTTGCCAACTATTATAGATTTGTATTGGGTGTATTAGATTCAGAGTCTGCATGGTCCGATGAACGTATTTCAGTTCTATCACGGCGTATCATCTTAATGAAGAAAGCACATCGTTATGCAGAAGCCAGAGGTTTGTCACTTCCGTGACACCGGTAAAGATGGGTGCGGACGGTGTTGCAAACCAATGATCATAAACAGGTAAATCTGGGATTCGAACCCATCACCACAGATCACGGCCCGTCTAAGGGATGAACTGCGAATTGAGGCCTCTTCGGCGACAGGGCCAAGAAATGACCTTAAACATTATACTTTGATAGGAGTCAAACCTGTGTAGTTGGCATGACGATTCAGCGCTTTAACCACTTGGCTACCCCACCGACTGAACTGAATTGATTAACTATGAAGTACTTACATGAATGTATAGTCTCCAATCGTTCTGCAGATAGATGTACATTCACCCACACCCTTTGGTATGTATGGTCGTGTGTCATTGGTGCACAGCTTTATACTTGCTCAAAACAGCCATGGGTAAATAAAACAGGTGTCACGTGAATTCCTGGAATAAGGACCCCCTTCATTGCTATATAAGTCGTTAGTATTGATCCGTGAAAAGATCTCCCGTTCAAATACGATGCACATTTATGAAAAATATCACATATATATTTGACTTTAATATGTCAAGTCCGTGAGGTTTTGCATTTGCCTTTGATCGATCGTAGGTAGATAACGTTTTAAATTAGACTCGTAAAACAACCTGTATATAACGGGGACTCTTTACACAATCAAAATATCTGGTTAGCGTTTCTACTAAACTTAAGACGAACATGGCGAACGTGTGTGAGCTTTCTTTGAAGTTATTTTAAGAGTTTCTTTAGGAAAAACATGGAGGTTCGCTCGGGTTAAACTACACGCATGTACTTTCAGTCCCCATACAATGTATAAACAGCTCTGTGTCAAATTATGACCTTGGTGTTCAGAGAAGGAAAACTGAGTAGTCATGCAGGTACATTGTATATAACAGACATTAGGTGAGGTGAGGTGAGGTGAGGTGAGGTGAAATGGGGCTTAACGGCGCGTCCAAGATTATTGCACTCATATAGCGACGTGCATGTGTGTGTGCGCGTGTGTGTGTGCGTGTGTGTGCGTGTGTGTGCGTGCGTGCGTGTATATATATATATGTGTGGGGGGGATGGGTGTGGGTGTGGGGGCAGGGGTGTGTGTGGGTGTGTGTTGGTGTGTGTGTTGGTGTGTGTGTTGGTGTGTGTTGGTGTGTGTGTGTGTGTGTGTGTGTGTGTGTGTGTGTGTGTGTGTGTGTGTGTGTGTGTGTGTGTGCGTGCGTGCGTGCGTGCGTGTGTGTGTGTGTGTGTGTGTGTGTGTATGTGTGTGTGTGTGTGTGTGTGTGGCTGTTTGTACTAGTCCGGACTGATGCCGATTTAAAGTGCTACCCCACTGAGATACCATGCCTCAGTTTAACATGAACACCCCAGTTAGACACAGTATACTGATTCCGAGCCGAAAAGTCCTTGTTTTGGCCCCTTAATGCCGAGCGCCACACAGGGTAACAACAAGTACCATATTGTAACGTCTTTTGGTATGACGCGGCCGGGGATCGAACCTCGGACTTTCTGTTATCCGGGCGGACGTTCTACCACGAGACCACGGAGGTGGTCTAACAGACATTAACTGCCTTTTACTATATGATAGTGATTCATAAACACATGGTCATGATATAGTTCGAATCGTACAATCGAGTCTGCTTTATGCAGAGGGGGCACGGGTGGTCCAGTCCTCTTAGGCGCCACGCTTTGGTGTGCGGAGTTGCGTCCCTCGGCACGCCAGAAACTTATGATTGTGGGTCCGAATCCCGGGTCGACCCCGATCATGTTTCTAGGTTTGTCAGCACCATACCTGTGCTCGTGGGTTTCACCGAAGAGGTTAGCGTCTGAGACCTGCATCATTTCGGGCTTTCCTCTCACAATCAGCTGACACGCCGCAATATAACTGGAATACGGCGTTACAAGCGGCGTTAAACCCAACTCACTCACTCACTCACTTTATGCAGAGATTTCTATTGGATATGGAAAGTGTTTTGTCGGATTATTTACGTGAGGCTTTAAGTGGTTGAGAGCAATTTGCCTTATAGAGTTGTGTCCCTCTTTTCGTTGGTTCAAACGCCAGACTTAATCAACAATATTCATCAACACTTCTAACGTATACTACATACATACAATGATTTAGCTGTGGATTATGATACCACGAGGGTTTCCAACAGGTCATAGCATTAGGACCGAGTGCTCGGATGTCTATTGTCTTCGTTCATTATTTCAAGGGGACATTTTATAGTTTTCACCGAATAAACATTGCACCATGTTGTCACGGAAGAACAATAAATAAATAGGACACGTAGGCCAGCCAGCTGGCTAGACTCATTGTATCCTAGATGCAGCTATCGGTGTTAACGGACAATAAAGGGATGAAGGGGACAAAAGGAGCAAGGGGAGCAAGACGGAGCCCCGAAACGTCGTGACAAAGGATATAAAGAAGCCGCTGTCCATAAAAAGTGCAATGTATTCATGTTCTCCCAACTTCTAAATGTCTATCCAATACGATAAGGTAGTAGTTTACCTCAAGGTCATAAAAAGCTATGAGACAATTGAGTCAAGGGAATATTCGGATCAGAGAATATTCGGTTCTAGACCAGCGGTTGGTAGGTTGAGAAACCATCATCACATTGTCAAAAAATGATCACAAATTGCAACCACACGATCCTATATATACAAGCATGCTGGGGTCCATTCTTGCCCCGGAAGGCCCACGGAGGCGATAGTATCTCAATTTATCTCCGTCATCCTTCGCGATTGATCAGAAACAACAACATAAAGACTGAGTGGTCACGTGAAGTACACTGCACGTGACTATTTTGACGTCACACCGCCCACTGTGGCGTAACATAACGATGCCAGATCAGAGTAAGGTACTGAAAAGTGCTACTTCAAACTATTTGCTAGCTCAAAACATGAAATACTCTATCTTAGCTGATCCCTATCGTCTTCTCTGCATCAAATGTATAACTGTCACAAACACCTTAAACAACATTTAGGTGAACGCGGCGTAATGGGGAATGTTAATGTGTAATGTTTTCTTCAGAATAGTGTGAGGCCAATGGGTCATGGGGGCCTAGGACATATATATTTATGACTGTGCAATATCTTTTATGCAAATATTTCAGGCATATGAACTCGGAAATATAAAACGTCAATGCCAGGGAATAGACTTTGTATGCTTTGTAGAATCATATAATGAAAGATTCATCTTGGATCATATAGGTAGCACGTCAACGCCAGAGAATAACCAGTCTCGATTATCCGCCGAAACAGATTATATTGGACGTAATTGGCAAAATAGTGATAAAAACGTCTGTTCATATATGGTTTTTTGTTTTATCAGTTATCTCACAAAGGAAACAGTAGCTAGCATTGAAAGTATACCTAATTACTACGGTAGGGACCCAATATTTTTAAAGTTAAGTTACTGCCTTTACTGATTGTGTCATGGAAGAAGGCTTCATTCACAAATAATGCTGTTTATCCCGTTAATATTCGCAAAATAAATATTGACATATAATATCTATCTATACCAACTTAATGTTTGAAGTGTCATGTGAGTGTCATGTAAACTTTTGAAATAATAGCGCCAACAATACCAAATAATGCTGAGTAAATAAATTCCAGTTCGTCAGATGCAATGAAGTGTAGCTAGTCTTGTTGCATCTTTCCAACTGTCGATTCCAAACCGTCAGATGGTATACAATCAACAAATGTATTACAAAATTAACAAGGGCTTCCCGGGTCAAGAGTATCGGATCGATTGGCTTGTAGCAAGGCCCTTCGAAATCAAGATCAAACGGCGAATCAAATCGACGATTAGAATCACTTTCCACAACAGTAAAATACGTTTATAACGAACACGCTTTTTACTAACTGACGGATATGACGAACTTAGTTTTTTGGTCCCGGCCATTTGCTGTATAGATGTTGTATATAAGCTTACAACGAACTACGGTTATAACGAACTAAAATTAGTGGTCCAGTTGAGTTCGTTACAACCGTAGTTTACTGTACCTTCATTAGCGTGTCTGGTGGCATCGAAATGAACGTCAAGCTAATGAGCCTACCCAACTCCATATTGTGCCATGATTAAAGCAACAAAACGCTTTCCACATCCAATAGAAATCTCTGCATAAAGCAGAGTCGATTTTACGATTCCGAGTATATCATGAGCAAGTGTCATGAATCACTATCACATAGCAATGATACTAGTTGTTCGCGAAAAGGTGAGTGAATGTTGCCCCGCCGGTGGTACCCGCTACAAACACATGCAAAGGCAAGTCAATTGTTCACCTGAAAATACACGGGAACAGATGGTACAAGTCAACATTGGGAATTGCATCTGACATCATTTTTGTCACTGATGCGTCAAAGTTGGAAATGTCCTCCATGTCCGCCATAAACCTTTTTGAAAGCTTTATAGTGTTAGTAAATATGTAAGTAATACTGAAGTAGTTTACTGCTTAGTTTTCGGAGTTACAAGACAACTTACCTGTTTCCGTGAATTGTGTTCAATTGAGCGTCTAAAGCTTCAATGTGCAGTGTCGGTTGTCTTTCGAAAGACTTGTCCCAGGTAAGAGGTGCTCAATGAGTGGGTGTGCCGTACGGCTGTTGTATTTTGGCGTAGACATGTTTGTGGCCATGACATACAAAGACGCTCAAGGCTACAATGTTTTGCTGCATGTGAATGCCCTTACAACGTGAATTGACAGGGTGTGGAGTAAGTAAAGTAAAGGAACATATTCTCGCCCATGGGCCTGCCCATGGGCCTGCCCATGGGCCAATCTTCGCCGATGGTCAGGCCCATGGGCGACATAGTATAAATATTGAGTTTTTGAACAATTTTCTTTTCATTGTTTCTTCCTTGGTATGTTCCCATGAAAACAGCATGTTTAATTTTGTAAATACCTTTGACCGAGACTGGGCAAAGACCGTAGAGTTTCTGGACTTTGGGGTTTCCAGAATTAAAATGGGACGTGTTTAATTAATATGAGTGAGTGAGTTGGGTTTAACGCCGCGTTGAAAAGTATTCCAGTTACATCACGGCGTGTCAGATTAATGTGGGTGGAAAGTTCGAAATGATGCAGGTCTCAGGCGTTTCCCACTTCGGTTAAACTCACGAGCACGGGTATGGTGCTGACAAACATAGAAACATAATCGTGGCGAACACGGTTGCAATCTTGTGGGCGGTGGTGTCTAAGGTACTGATTTTACATCTACAGTATTTTCACCTTGGCGACACCAACTATCATGCTGTCATAGTTGAATCAAGATTAAACAATCCCTAAAAGAAAGTGGAACACACATTTTAGGCCCCCCTCATCAAAGGGCTTCTAAATGTGCCCTGTTTGGACTTACATGAGTACTTGTTATCAACACTATTGCTGGAATCACTCTGCATACGCAATGAAGTTTCCAAGAAAATGTCGAAAATGCAGTGAGACTGGAAGAAAATAGGGTGCATGAACGTCAAACGTCGTACAACATTACACATGCTACACATCAAACTTCATAATGATACTTTGACATGGCTAGTTCATTCGAGGAAATGACATTGAATGTGAATGTGGTCGCCGGCGAGGCCATGTTTAAAATCGGATCGAATTATGGCAGCACTGTTAGAGATACGATACCTGAGATCATTAAACGTTCAGATTGATAGGCTGAGTAGTTTCAGAGGAGATGTCGAATAACGAAAAGAAAGAAGTTTCAGTCAGGTGAGTTACTAATTAAGAAAAACTTATGAAACTTCACTGAATGCATCCTATTGTTAACATGATGTAAGGCAATCAAATGAAGGCTCAATAATGAAGTGTTGTGATTCCATATGGCTTCAGGGGGCAAGGGTGGCTTTTCGCATCGTACGGGGGTGGGGAGGGGATTGGGATCGAACCAGGGTCTTCGGCATGAAGATCGCCAGTGAACACTGTGACCACGGTGCCATACTAGTAACTGAATCAGTAGCAGGCAAACCCGTGGTTGATAGTTGGAGGAATGATGCACGACGATGGAGTGCCATCAAACACCATCAGCCACGTTACAAAGACCCAATTAGCATTTAGTTTGTACAGTTAAAAACCGTTGAGTCGAACGTACGCTTTTCCATGTGTATTCCTTCGTTATTCATTATTTCGGATGTGTCAAACCTCGTATAACTCGAAGTATTTACGTAGGTCCCTTCTTATTCGACACAAAGGTGTTTGGTTGTATAAGCATAAAATAATAGTCGCCAAGAATCATATACACAGGCTCATTTTACTTTGGGACGCCCAATCAGAGATCCCACTTCAATCGAGCAGTGGGCAACTCATCTGCAAGAAATAGTAAAAACCACGTGCCCTGAGTAAACTTGACTTTATCATCGATTACCATGTACCCGAACAACAGGAAAACGTAAGACAACAGTAAGGCTTCCTTTGCAGTCATTCTTATTATTGTTAAAAGCAGGTTCCCAAGCCAATGTGCTAAATGTCACACCGGAGGGAAGAAAAAGCCTTTAAAATCCGTCAAAAATCGGAAAGGTCTATTTATCATAATGTATTATAAGAGAATATCTACAATGTCATATTGTAAAGCTTTTATCCAACACATCATATTGTAAAGTGAGCGAGTGAGTCAAGTTCAGCGGAGTGTCAGTGTGACGTTGGAGGAAAGCTGAAGTGATGTAGGTCTTGGACGTTTACCACTTTGGTGAAATCCACGAGTACGGGTTTGCTGCGGAGCAGAGACACCAAGAAACATCATCAGTGCAAATTGGGGATTCGAACCCACAATCATAGGTTTCAGGTGAGTGTCCCATATTGTAAAGGGTTAAATCAGAATGGCAATGAAATAGTTCACACCTACATACTGAACATAAAGTAGTTTGTCAGTTCATATCATGTGATTCAGGGTCGAATGTGTAAGGCCGAATTCCAATTTGGTGGAATACTTTAAAACATTCAGATATATCACGATTAACCATTTACGAGTTTGACTTGTCATGCAGATACATAAATAGTACTTATCACATGCAACATCCAACAAAACAACAATCAAACAAGAGTGTTAGGTTATTGATTTATTTAACGGTCGTCTATGAATTGTATCTTTTTTCGAAATTCATATTATTTATCATGTGTACATGTATATATTTCATCTATAGAGGTGGGGTGTATGGGGTGGGGGGGGGGGGGGGGGGGGGGGGGTAATAACGACAGGCGGATGTAACGAACAAGCAGTTAGAGAGGTCTCCATATGCATTCAGTCCCTATGTGTTGATAAATTCCTTGATCTTCCCACCACCAGTCACAAATATGGAGCCATGATTGTCCGACCAGAGACCTCGTGGAGAGCGCACACCATCCTGTAACGTGAGAACATCCCTGACATACTCCCCCGACTCTGTCAGCTGTATCACCTTGCTGGTGTTCTTGTCTACAACCAGGATGTCTCCTGTGCTGGTAGTTGAGATACCATAAGGGAAGCTGAGTGCTCTGTCTCCGGTAGGGGCGTATCTCCACACAACATCCCCCTCTGACGTCACACTTGTCACAGACTTCTTCCCCCAGTCAGACACGAGTATGTTGCCCTTGTTGTTGACACGCATGTACCAGGGGTAGGTAAACAGTGTCTCATTGTTGTGTGTAGTGACTGACCTCAGCACGTGTCCCCCCATGTGCAGGATATCAACACAGCGATATGTACCTGCTGCTAGAGATGAAGGACCCAGAACAGCGAGACTGGCGTACCCCTTGCTTGTTGTGATGGTTGAGAGCAGCACCAGGTCAGGGGTCACTTCTACTGTTACAATCTGACTGGAGAATGGGACAAGAACCATCACCTGGTTCTCCTTCAACTGTGTTACACCCCATGGAGAGTCATCCAGGGGAAGTGTACTATGACATGCTTGATTGTTTCCAGTGTAGAAAGATTTCACACACTTGTTGGAGCAGTCAGTGACAACACATGTCTGCATACCATTTGCAAGCAGGACTGTGACGACACGTAGATCAGGTTCCTCCACATCTCTCCCCACCCTGCCGTCAGTCGTGTCAACCATTACCGGAGAAGATTTCAGGCAGGTTCCAGTATGGTATGTGACGTCAATCTTCCCCAGCTGTAGGTCATCTAGGATGTGCTGGACGTTGTCAGTGTCAGGTGTAAACCTGATGTCATCTATTCTCCGCGTGTCTGCTGTGCCTGTGTCCCTGACATCCCCCAACTCTACAGCCCCCGACTCCCAGGCCTGATACGCGTCATACAGGTCCATCTCACAGTCCGATACCAAGGCCTGGTCAATGAACTCACAATGTTGTCTGTACATCTGCACCTCAATCTCTTCAAGCTTTACATCTGCATCAATCTGTGACAGGTGTGTATCTGTATTTGCCTCACTATCTGCTTGTTCGTTACATCCGCCTGTCATTATTACCCCCATACACACCCACATGATAAAAAAATGAATTTCGAAATCAGATACAATTTATAGTCAAATAAATCAATAACCTAACATTCTTGTTTGATTGTTGTTTTGTTGGATTCTTGCATGTGATAAGCCAGTATGAAACAAATCTGTTTACGTGGGAGGCTAGGCACCCTACCACAGTTCAGTGGATTTGCCTCCCTTAGACCAGTGTGTGTTGGTAATTGTAAACCGATCACGTGAAGCACGTGACTGGACTGCATCAAGCCTCTTTCCGCGTACACCAGCAAGCAGCCAAACACATATCTCATAGGCAACTTATTATTTATCCCTTCTCTCCCAGCCCAATTTTGCCTGCTGTTTCAAAGGGGTTTGCATGTTAATATTGTTATGTAGTGTACCCAAACCACAGAGGATGATTGTGTATGTAATGACACAGGATGGACTGCAGCTCACGCCTCACGTTCTGTTTAGCCACGGAGGATGAACTGAACTGTCACCTCTATTCGGGCCCATTTGGTCATGATGTGTATATTCCGGCCCATTTTGGTCATGATGTGTATATTCCGGCCATTTTGGTCATGCTTTTGTAGTTGGGTCACTACATTGCGTCACGATGTGTACCCAGCTAAACCTCGGACGCAAACAATGTAACTGCATTTCTGTGTACTGTGTAACACTGCTTGTCGCGACTTCCGCCCGAACTTTTTTGTATTAAAGCTGCGCCCGTTTTTTGCCACTGATGCATCGTGTTATCGTTTGTTTTATTTCAGTGATTTCAAAGGAAGCCAACCGTATTGTCTTACTCTTCCATAAACCACCGATCTGTCTAACGTTTTCACATTGTTTAGGGACATTACATGGTTATTGATAGTAAAATCAGGTTTACTCACGGTGGTCGTTTTCATAGTTTTACGCCGCGTTCTGAATTATTCCAGCAATATGACGGTGGGGGACACCAGAAAAGGGCTTTACACATTGTATCAATGGCGGTAATCGAAACAGTGTTTTCGGCGTGGGGAGCGAACGCTTTAACCACGAGGCCATCCGACCGCCCCTCTTGTAGATGAGTTGCAGACTACTCGATTGAAGCGGGATCTTTGATTGGACGTCCAAAACTTGAATGAGCTAAACTCTAAAACAGAATTTCAAATACCGAATGTCGGTGTATTTGATTCTTGGCGTCTCTTATTTAATGCTCATACAACCAAACACCTTTTTATGGAAGATGAAGGGACCTACGTAAATCATTCGAGTTATCCGATGCTCGACACAACCAAAATTGATTAGTTTAAAGAAGAAATACGCAGGGACCAAGGTTTTACTTCGGGAAAAGTGTTAGTTCGACACATAAAAGTTCGACACAACGGTGTTTTACATTTCTGGTGTCCTCCACCATGTAATTTCTGGAATAGTGCTAAATGCGACGTAAAATGATACTCACTCACTGCATTATTTCTGACACGAACATTATTACATACTGATGACACAGGTAACCTATTACCAGGGCTGAGTTAACTACGCCCCTATCAACCAGGGAGATAATACTAATTTATGCTGTTGTTTTAGATATGTACACTGCGTATAACATGCACCCAAGGGATATTAATATATCACACATAGGCTAGAACGATGGTATGAAATATCTTTCCGATATTTTCACATAAGCATTTTACATACCACTTCGGTGAAACCAACAAGCGCGGGTATGGTGCTGACAAATCTATTCGATTCGAACTCGCAGTCATAGGTTTCTGGCGAGCATAAGGGTCGCAAATCTGCACAGCGAACTGCGGCGCCTTAGATGACGCCCACTGAAGCCGTATGAGCCATTGTTGAGCCTTTGTTCATACCGTCACAATTTGATTGCCTTACGTCATCTTAACAATAGGATTCATTTAGTGAAGTTTTTTTCTTTAGGGGTGACATTACATACAGTTTCTTTATTATTAGCTAACTTGACTGCAAGTATCTGATTCTTCTAAATTTTGACATCTCCTATGAAACTACTCCGCCTGTCGAGCTGAAACTGTCAATGATCCCAGCTGTCGTATCTCTAAAATACCATATTGATATTTATGATGCCATTTGCTCCCATGACTTAGCCATTTCTAAAGTATCACTATGAAGTTTGATATGTAGCAATTGTGTTGTTGTACGACCTTTGACGTTCATGTACCCCTTTATATCTGATCTCACTGCATTTTCATGGAACCTTCAGGGCATATGCAGCCGAAATTTGAATGATCCCAGCTATACAGCTGCTAAAATGTTCACACTGAATTAAGTCCGGGCTCCTTTAGAAGCCCCTTGATGAGTAGGGCCTAAAGTATACTCACACGCAAAAGAAACGCAAGTGGTTTTAAGCAAATATGTAACAAACACGGAACCATAAATTGATACGAGTTTGAGCATGTAGTGAAGCCTGATGGTGTTATCAATATTTTTGGTTGCATTTTGGAAGCCCCGAGTAAAAACGCAACATAAAAAATGAATCGCCAAACCGCACCATTTCAATGAATATGTGGGTATCATGCACCCATTTCTCGCGAAATCGAAAATGCACGAACTGTCACGAACTGGAGTGGGTATAAAACTGTGGCCGTTTGTTGGACCTACCACTCCTTGGTCAACAGTGCCACGCCTAACTCAATTTCAGAGAAACCAGGCTATCGGACGTTTGGAAGCTGGAGAGTCTGTCCAAGATGTTGCCCGTCATTTCAACGTTAACATAACCGCAATTTACCGTCTCCTGCATCGATACAATGCTACACAGACCACAGGTGACCTTCCTTGGAGCGGTCGTCTTAGGGTCACCACACCTCGACAAGATCGGCAGATTACCCGTCAACACCAGCTCCTAACTGCAAGTGAAAGTGCTCGACAGACCATAAAAACAAATAATTGACACATTAGCCGGGACACTATGATCCGACGTCGACGTTCCAACAACCTAAGATGTCGCCGACCAGCACGTCGTCCTGTTCTCCAACCATGGCATCCATAAACACGACTTCAGTGGTCACAGGGTCTTCTCAATTGGCATCATTGTGAGTGGAGGCGTGTCATCTTTTCTGATGAAAGTCGCTTTTGTGTCTCCCATGCAGACGGAAGAGTCAGATTTTGGCGGGGTCGAGGTGATCGTTTCGCTGACAGAAACGTTGTGGAGAGAGATCCATAAGGTGGACCTAGCGTCATGATATGGGCAGGGATTGGACTTAACGCGAGACGTGGACCCATGTGCTTTCTGAATGTTGGTCTAGGTCGGGAACATGGCGTCACTGCTCAGCGGTATATCGACCAAGTGATCAGACCCACGGTTGTTCCATTTTTTGCACAACATCAACAACACATTTTCCAGGAGGACAACACTCGTCCCCACGTTGCCGGAGCTATCATGGCCTTTCTGCAACAACACAATATCCGTGTTCTACCGTGGCCAGCCCTCAGCCCTGATCTGAACCCCATTGAACTCTTGTGGGATGAGGTTCAAAGGCGTCTGCACAATGTGCGCCCAGACCCTACAACTGCCGATGATCTACGCACAGCTGCTCTGGATGTGTGCAGGAGGATCCCTAGGGCCTTCACAAATCGTCTGATCCACTCAATGTACAGGAGATGTGTGGCAGTGATCAATGTTAATGATGGTCACACCAGGTATTTACTGACATTTTGGGTATTGACCCGAAAAGCCCTTAACATTTGAAAAAACAATTATGTCATCTGCCTTTTAATCCATTAAACTGTCTTCAGTCAAATTTTGTCAATCTTGCCCTTTTAGTATTTCTTGTCTTTACTGTTGAAAAAAAAATAACATGTATACTGCATACTCCACTTGCGTTTTTTTTGCGTGTGGGTATATGTGTTCCATGTTTTGAGGGATCATGAATTTTAACCCTGAATCAACCATTACATCATAACAGTTGGTGTCAACCGTGTTTCATCCAAATATCTGCGTGCATTGGGGATTTTGTTTGGAGACTAGATATGTTTTCAACTGCAGCTGCAAAACCAGATATTGTTTTATATTCTAAGTATGAGCCTTAATATTTCGTTCAAAAAAGTCTGAATCATTATTATTTTTTTCAAGAATTTTCTGGAAGCCTCTTCCCCAAGATATCAAACGGTAGGTCCCTAAGAAAATCCGTGTTTGCTCTAGGCGTCACTATTTGCACTCATAGATAATGCAAGAATGTTGTTTTCTCCAGAATGTTTTGCAGCACTGTATCGCTACCTCACCACAGATATGTGTATCAAAGTAAAGTCAGGTGAATGACAAATGTACAAAGCCTTGTGGCTGTATTTCCTTTCTTAAAATGTGAATGAGTAATTAGATTAACCATCTCGAAAGTCGGAATTACGGAGTATCTGTCCCTCATGGGTGAATGCTGCAGGTCTCGCCAGTGGCTCGCGTCTTTCACCTTTCCTTACCTGGGACAGATCAGCCGTGATTCCTCGTAGTTCCGTGATTACGCTCTTATTCCACCTGTTTCGTTTTCTAAATGCTTGATCTTTTCATAATGTGATGGTGCGTTGATGTAGATCTACACATGATGTGTAATTGCGGTGTACATTACATGCATGTATATTAAAAACATCATTTACTTTAATAATGATACGACATGCTCCAAAACGTTCTCGGACAAATGGCAAATTCTGTGTTTCATCTCACTTTCTGATGGGGCAAGGAAAAGTAAAGATCATCCTCGACTATTTTTTAGTAGTTTAATGCTGTTTGCAGTAGTATTTTATACCTTAACAAAAGGTTAGTCAGGTCGATAGCATTTAGCACGTTAGCGAAAGACGAAAACACGGATAGCGGATCCAAGTACGGTTAATATTCCAATTATATGACGATGGCTTTAAACACACGAACATCTGGACCAGGCAACCCGGTGATGTATGTTTTGAGCGTCAGCGATGAAAGCAATTGACCGAGTCACCGCACTTCACCACCCGATCCATTCAGCAGCCACATACAAAGCATGGCTTGCTAGGCGTCT